GGTGCTCTTTATACTTACACGCAAAAGCACTCAGTGGTTGACTCTCTCAGTTCTCGCACAGCTTGTATGACTTATCCGTCATATAAATCATCTCAGCACAATAACCAAACAACGATGCTGGTAATTGTATCCAGTGCAACGAGATGTAATTCAGCTCTGTTGTAACACAATACACACAAGCATACAATACAATACATATACAGTAAACAATATACAATATAGTACATGGCATACAAGATTTAACATAGAAGAATCATGAAAAATTGCACAGTAGTTTCATCTGTGCTTTCTGGAAGGCTGGAAATCTTACAGTCAGGCTATATTAACACTGGTAACCTTACAGCAGTAGGAGAAAAGCTGTTCTTGAAGCAGGTTGTCTTAGTTTTTATGGATCTATAGCGTCTCCCAGAAGGAACAGTTCGGAAAAGACGGTTCACTGGATCAGAGGAATCTGTAATTATTCTCTTCGCTCGCTTTAGGGTGTGCTGAATGTAAACAGAATCAGCCAAAGGAAGTAAAATTCCAATTATCTTTGAAGCTTGTATTTTATTATAGGTCTGGATATTTATATTTCCATACCACACTGTAATAGATGACGTGAGAACACTCTCGATAATAGACGAATGAAATTCAAGCAATAGATCTCTTCTGACTTTGTATTTTTTTAATCGCCTCAAAAGAACAAACTTCGTTGAGATATTTTTAATGATATGATCAGAATTAGGGCTCCACTTCAACGAACTGCTAATGGAAGTTCCCACAAATCTTAACAACTATAACAACAATAAAACAAATTGCTGCTGTCAGAAGAAAACCTTGTATCTCCAAAATGGTAACTTTACAGGAGAAGGAAAAAAAACCTACTTTACTTTTAACGTAAGTATATGGAACCAGAATTTTTTGCAAGTCATTTTGGGCCGTTTCTTTTAGTCCATTTATTGTGAGATTTGCACATAATGTAAAGGGCAAGAGATATTTTCAAATTATGTTAAAAACTGAAAAACACCCTAACACATTTTGGTTTTTGCTGATTAATTTTAAAAAAGTATTTGTGTGAGATTAACTCTGCTATAAATGAACATGCACATTTTGTTTCCACCACCTACCATTTGTAATCAATTCAGCTAAAAGTGCCGTGAGATTAAATATTACAAAGTTCCCATGGGTGGGGTCAACTCTTAACAGACATGACTGGCTAGTTTTAACAGTCACTAAATGTCTAGGAAATCAATGCAAACACAATTAATCCAATACAATTCAGTGTTGTTTGAACTATATGAGCTATCCAACCTAAACACATCCAAACATCTGCATGTAAATAAACATGCTTAATGAAAAGAGGAACTATTATGTTTTTGGTGTATCTAGTTTAAATGTATATGGGGGTGTGGACTTCTCCCATTGTTCACTTTAGGTGGCTGAAGGCCACCACACACTGGACCTCCACGTTGTGCAGTGTCCACAAATTCAAAACCATTGTTTTTAATGACTTTCGGTGATGACGCATGACGAGCTTGGTGACTTTCAACACCGTTCAATTTCTCAGAGCCCCACTCAGCATTTAGCCATTACTATGTTAAATTGAAGCCGTTTTTGAGACTCAGAAAGCCACAGTAGATCAGACGTGACTTGTCATTTACACAAAGGCAGTCAGTCTTTTAGAGAAACAGACAAATACTAATGGAGAAGCTAACTCAGCTAAAGTTACTAGCTTGGTCTTTTTTTAATTGTGAAGAGTGTGGAGAGTGAACTGATGCCAAAACAGGAGTTGAAAGTGTTATTACATTAAATTTGTATAAGTAGAGTGAAAAATGAACTTGAGCTTGATGTTTAGTATAACAATAATCATCATCTTAAACTGCTTAATCCAGCTACGGTTGCGGTAGAAGTTGGGAGAACAGGGAATCTCAGACTATTATCCCAGTCTGGGATTCTGGGATAATAATAATAATAGTCCTTATTTATATAGCACCTTTCATACATTAAAATGAAGCTCAAAGTGCTTTACAGTAAGAACAACAGAGAAAGAAGAGTAAAAAAGGTATATAAAAGTAGAACAAACAAAACAACAACAAATAAATGTAATAACTAAAAAGGGGCTATATTAATAATAATTAAAAATTAAGGTGCAAATGATCAAAGCAGCAATAGTAGACAACCACTAAATCAAATGAACATAAACAGGGAGGGCCATATAAATCATCCAGTACAGTGTGGCTGAAAGTTGCAACACTGGGCTAAAACTAACTCCACCATGTGGAGGCTGTACTTTACTCTCACTGTGAGCCAACAAGAACAAGACAATATAATAATATAATAATGATAATATGAGTGAATTCTGTAAAAACACTTGTGCTAAAAAAATACTTTTATGTTATAAACGCCGTCTACAGGGCATCTATGGTTCTTGGAACCGTACATCCAAGCCAAGAACAGTTTAGGAACCTTTGGTAGACGTTTTTAGGAACATATGTATTGATAATGTCCAGCTTTAATGATAGATACAGGTTGTTTGGAAAACAAAATCTGGAGGATTTGTTTGTTTATTTATCATATCCAAGAACTGTGGTGCCCTAACTAAGCAGAAAGAAGTCTGTATAGTGTTAAACATTCACTACACATTGACCTTAAAGGACAAACATTCCACTGCAAAAAGAACCCTGATGGTGAATGTGGCACTGGACAGACGAGTGTGCATGTCTGCCTTGATCTCTCCATGCAAATTAGCTGAAAGTGTGATCTTGCTGGAGGGCAGTTTGCACCTCATCTGGCCTGAGAGAACAGAGGAGTCAGGCTTCTCCAGCCAAGGCATGGATTTGTTAAATTCCATCAGCTTTTAGATGGAAATGGCCAAACGAACATACTGACATACACAGAATCACCACTTATTGTACTACTATTATTTGTATTAGTGTTTCTAGTATAACTTTTATTTTCTCAGGTGCATAAAACTTTTTAGAACTATTATTTTAAGATGGTTTATTCAACGTTTCAAGTTTTTTGGGAACACCAGAAAGTTAGTAAATGACAGTTAAATTATATAATTTGTAATTATTTATTTATAGTAATTTCTTGATGAGTTATCTGGCTGAGATGTGATGACCACGTCTCAAATATGAGCTATTCTGGATGTAAATTTTATTATTACTTAATTCTCAGTGTTTTACAGCTTTCACAGTCATTATGGAACTGAAATTTAAAGCCAGCAGCATAAAACCAGCCCGGAAAACCAGCACAGTCAGACATGCAAACAGCCTTTTTGACCACAGTGGACACCTCACACTTTAAACTGGAACCAACAAACCTTCCTCACTGTATTACAGCGTAACTCCTCTGCAACAGAATGCTTATTTGCACAACAGTACAAAAGTTCATATCATTCTGTAATATTCTGTATACAATAGTTATTATACATCTACTCAGATCCATCAGGATTAAAACCCGATAGTTTTGCTTTCTAATAGGAATTGGCTTACAGGTTACCCTTAGAGGCCACGAGTTTCTTGTGGAACAGCTTTAAATCCCATTAGGAAACCATAAGTTGCATCTGGAATGAGTCAGAACACCTGTTAAACCATTAAAACCTTTACGCTGTGATATCAGCACATCAGGAGAAAACACAATACCATCACTGACTACTGAACACCACTGGAAAACAATTGAAACTTTCAGTGGTTCTCATGATTTTTTTCAGCAGGGTGCACAGGCACAGATACTCACACAACTGTTTAGCTCCTCACTCTTCCCTACAGAGCCCTGCTGGTGACATCCTGCATAAATAAAAACTGAAGGAAAGACACACTGAACAGACCAGACCAGCACTCAGACTAACACGTATTAAAATAAGGGAAAAATACTATAAAAATACAGTAAAAATAGAATTAAAAAGAGTACGGAGCCCTGCAGATGACATCCTGTATTAACAAAAATAATGCATGGCCTCAACTTAGTAAGGCATGGGAATGAGATCCTAATGCGTGGCCAAGACTTAGTAAGGCGTGGGAATGAGATAATTTCCTGGCCACAACTTAGTAAGGCATAGGAACAAGATCCTAATGCATGACTATGACTTAGTAAGGCATGGGAACAAGATCCTAATGCATGACTATGACTTAGTAAGGCATGGGAACAAGATCCTAATGCATGGCCACGACTTAGTAAGGCATGGGAACAAGATCCTAATGCCTGGCCATGACTTAGTAAGGCGTGGGAATGAGATAATTAAGTCATGACCACGACTTAGTAAGGCATGGAAACGAGATCCTAATGCATGGCCTCGACTTAGTAAGGCATGGGAATGAGATCCTAATGCATGGCCATGACTTAGTAAGGCGTGGGAATGAGATAATTTCCTGGCCACCACTTAGTAAGGCATAGGAACAAGATCCTAATGCATGACTATGACTTAGTAAGGCATGGGAACAAGATCCTAATGCATGGCCTCAACTTAGTAAGGCATGGGAACAAGATCCTAATGCGTGGCCATGACATAGTAAGGCGTGAGAATGAGATGATTAAGTCATGGCCACGATTTAGTAAGGCATGATCTCGTTCCCGTGCCTTACTAAGTTGTGGCCACGACTTAATTATCTCATTCCCACGCCTTACTAAGTTGTGGCCACGAGTTAGCTTGGCTTGTTTCCATGTCGTCACCAGCAGGGCTCTACGGGCACGATAACGAAAACAAGATAATTAAGTTGTGGTCATCACTTAGTAAGGTGTGGGAACGAGACCACGCCTTATTAAGCTGTGGTCAAGGCTTATTTATCTCATTCCCATGGCTTACTAAGTGGTGGCTACGACTTAATTACCTCGTTTCCACGCCTTACTAAGTTGTGGAATGGCGTGGCCACGCATTATTTCACCAGCAGGGCTCCGTACTGTTCTTTATTGTCTTTATTGTAATTTTACTGTATTTTTCCCTTAGTTAAGCACGTGTTAGCGGTCTCTGAGTGCTTGTCTGGTCTGTTCAGTGTGTCACTCCTGCGTGCCGCACAAATTCCCTTGTTTGTGTAACAAAATAAAGTGATTCTGATCCTGAAAGTTCATGAATTCCATCAGAGTCGATCTGCACCAAGTCTGAGCAGCTCTTTCCCCCAGTTTCCTGCGCTCCTGCCCCACTGTGGGTATTTGAATGGTGCTCGTGTTGTCGCTTGACGAAATGTGAAGAGGCGTGACTGACTCCTCAGCCAACAACACGCACACAAACTCTCTCTCCTACACGGAGAATGGTGGAGAGGGAGAGGGGGAGGGAGGAGGAACCGAGAAAGGGGAGAGAGAGAGAGAGTGTGAGAGAGAGAGAGAGAGAGAGAGCGAGAGAGGGGGAAAGAAAAAAAAAGTTAAACTCAAAAAATGGCTTCCTCGTCCTCAGAGTCCGCAGAACAAACGGAGAAGAGCGCGGAGGAGAGCGCGGCCAAAGTTAAAGAGGAGTCGGACTCGGACGAGGCGTCGGAGAGCCTGCTGGAGAGCCTGCGGAGCTCCTCCGTGCTGGGCTTCTCCCCGGAGCAGCTCGCCTGCGTGTGCGAAGCCCTGCTGCAGGCGGGCAACGTGGAGCGACTGTGGCGCTTCCTCGCCGCCATCCCGCCTTCCTCGGACCTGCTACGTGGCAACGAGACCCTGCTGAAGGCCCAGGCCGTGGTGGCCTTCCACCGGGAGGAATTCAAAGAGCTGTACGCCATCTTAGAGAGCCACGACTTCCACCCGAGCAACCATGGGTTCCTGCAGGACCTCTACTTGAAGGCGCGCTACAAGGAGGCGGAGAGGAGCCGGGGGCGCAGCCTGGGGGCCGTGGACAAATATCGGCTCAGGAAGAAGTTCCCCCTGCCCAAGACCATCTGGGACGGAGAGGAGACCGTGTACTGCTTCAAGGAGAAGTCCCGCAACGCCCTCAAGGAGTGTTACCGAGTCAACAGGTACCCGACGCCCGACGAGAAGAGGAACCTGGCCAAGCTCACCGGCCTGTCTCTGACCCAGGTCAGCAACTGGTTCAAGAACCGACGGCAGAGGGACCGGACTCCGTCTGGCAACAACAAGAGGTGAGCCTGAACGAAAACAGTTCTCAGGGGGTCTAAGGCCTGTGTGGACCCCCCCACCACCACCCTGCTTAGTGCTAAAAGTGCCCACCAAGTTAAAGTACGGTCGAGTTAAGTCCTTGGAGAGAAGTTGGCACCTCTTGGTGACCATTTCTTTGTAAAGCTCTCGGAGCCATCCAGCAGCCAGTAGCACATTAGCTACAGCAAGTGAAACTACGTGGATTCACTGGAATGTTCTTTAAAAACAGTGTTTCTTCTTAGAACAAAAAGTGGAAACTTGTTTCCCTTTTTCCTTCCTAGAGTGGCGCATGTGTGCGTGCCGTGCTTTTTTGGCTTCGAAGTAAAGGCAGTGAAAAATCTCAGGGAAGAAAGAAAGAAAGAAAGCGTGTTGCTTTGTTGTGAAATGTGAGCTCCAGCCAGACAGGCTCAGATTTCCTGCTACACCGCGCTGGGGAGCCTTAAGGCAAAGTGAAGAAACTAACTGCCTTCTGTAAAGTTTACAGTAGGCAGATACTGTATAGGAGCACGGTCATATCCCTAATATCCCTAAAGGGGAATTCCAGTAGAAACCTGAGTGATTTCTGGTGGTTTCAGTTTGGCGTAGAAGCTGGAAATCTAACTTTTGAACAGCACTGTCCAACAGCCATTTCCATTCCTGTAGGTTCAGCCTGCTTTTACTATACTCGGGCCAATTGGAATTTCCCCAAGGGATGAAGAGAGAGAGGGGTGGGGGGGCGGGGCAATAAAAAAACCCAGCAAATTCAACTGGGCAGTACCAGTTAAAAAACAGCAGATTCAACTGGGCAGTACCAGTTAAAATACAGCGAATTCAACTGGGCAGTACCAATACAAAAAACAGCAGATTCAACTGGGCAGTACCAATACAAAAAACAGCAAATTCAACTGGGCAGTACCAATACAAAAAACAGCAGATTCAACTGGGCAGTACCAATTAAATAACAGCAGATTCAACTGGGCAGCACCAATAAAAAAACAGCAGATTCAACTGGGCAGTACCAATACAAAAAACAGCAGATTCAACTGGGCAGTACCAATAAAAAAACAGCAGATTCAACTGGGCAGTACCAATTAAAAACAGCAGATTCAACTGGGCAGTACCAATAAAAAAACAGCAGATTCAACTGGGCAGTACCAATTAAATAACAGCAGATTCAACTGGGCAGCACCAGTAAAAAAACAGCAGATTCAACTGGGCAGTACCAATACAAAAAACAGCAGATTCAACTGGGCAGTACTGGGCAGTACCAATACAAAAAACAGCAGATTCAACTGGGCAGTACCAACTAAAAAACAACAAATTCAACTGGGCAGTACCAATTAAATAACAGCAGATTCAACTGGGCAGCACCAATAAAAAAACAGCAGATTCAACTGGGCAGTACCAACTAAAAAACAACAAATTCAACTGGGCAGTACCAATAAAAAAACAGCAGATTCAACTGGGCAGTACCAACTAAAAAAACAGCAGATTTCAACTGGGCAGTACCAATACAAAAAACAGCAGATTCAACTGGGCAGCGGGCAGTACCAGTAAAAAAACAGCAGATTTAACTGGGCAGTACCAATAAAAAAACAGCAGATTCAACTGGGCAGTACCAATTAAATAACAGCAGATTCAACTGGGCAGCACCAATAAAAAAACAGCAGATTCAACTGGGCAGTACCAACTAAAAAACAACAAATTCAACTGGGCAGTACCAATACAAAAAACAACAAATTCAACTGGGCAGTACCAATACAAAAAACAGCAGATTCAACTGGGCAGTACCAGTTAAAATACAGCGAATTCAACTGGGCAGTACCAATTTAAAAAAACAACAAATTCAACTGGGCAGTACCAATACAAAAAACAGCAGATTCAACTGGGCAGTACCAATACAAAAAACAGCAGATTCAACTGGGCAGTACCATAAAATACAGCGAATTCAACTGGGCAGTACCAATTTAAAAAAAACAACAAATTCAACTGGACAGTACCAATTAAAAACAGCAAATTCAACTGGGCAGTACCAATACAAAAAACAGCAGATTCAACTGGGCAGTACCAGTTAAAATACAGCGAATTCAACTGGGCAGTACCAATTAAAAAAAACAACAAATTCAACTGGACAGTACCAATTAAAAACAGCAAATTCAACTGGGCAGTACCAATTAAAAAAAACAACAAATTCAACTGGACAGTACCAATTAAAAACAGCAAATTCAACTGGGCAGCACCACTTAAAAAACAAAAACATCAGATTCAATTGGGTAGAAAGAAAGTACATTTTCGTTGGGTACTGTTTTGCCTCACAATGTCCTTCATATGAATAAAAAGGTCATTCTCCATTTGGAGTGGAAATTCAGGTGGATACATTTTAAAAAAAATCTGTTTCTTTCATCCCAAAACTAAATAATCTTATTATGTCCATTAATATCTACTATTATCGAATATACAAAAAGGAGAGTTTAATTCCAAACACATTATACAGTCACTGGTGTTGTATGAATATGGTGTAACACCAGTGACTGACTCCAGTGACATTCTGGGTAAAACTGAGGATTTTGTACACTGGCTGACCTATTGGTGGTCAGGTGACCTTGTGCAACTTAAAATCAGTAATAAAAATGATATTTGGCAGAAATTTGAATTACCCAGCCATTAAAGCACATAACAGCAGTGACACATAGAAGTTATGTGCTGCCTGATAAACAAAATTATTAATTAAATAATGAAACATAGTGAGCAGGTGTGACTCGCCTTCTCATGGCTCGAGATTCTTCCTCTCTGATGAGCCTCGACCCAAAGAAGCAGTTTAATAGCGCTGAAAATACGGTGTTCAAAATGTAACATAAGAGTCCTGATAACAGCAGTGACCAAACTCTCTGTGACAAATGTAGTTTTTAAATAAAATACATATTTTTTAAATGTAGTGTAACATTAATTATATAAAAAGTAAACATAAATCTGTTTTGTACAAATTCCTAATTTAAACCTCTTAAAATATTGTTTTATATTAAAAATGTTTTCTCAAATGTTGAAACTTGGCTTTGTGACGAGCTGGTTTACAGATGCAGAGCGACTATAAAACAGAAAAAGAAAAAAGAAAAATCAGAGAAATCATGAAAGGAAAAGTGTTATTTAATCTTAGGTCGACTGTGTAAATGTACATACTGACTTTTGGAGCTGTGCCTAATATTTTAAGCATCTCTTTAAGCCCTGCAACCTTTATGACATGGTTTCCCACTCCCAATGGAGAACGACCCCAAAATAGGTTTTATACCAAATGTTAATTGCAGACCTACTGTAAAACAATGTCTTGAGCAATAAGCAGTGTATCCACTGACCGTTTCATGTAGTAACTGTCTGTGAGGGAGTTATTAGCTCTTCGGACATCTGGTTCCTATCACTACCACTGTGAACAGCTGACTCGTTTTAGAACAGATAGTTTCATGTCAAACCACTCTGAATGACTTTGTTTGCATCTTCAAGAACTGAATTTTGCAGAAATTTTAAAAACTAGGTGGAATTCCACTTTAAACAAAAATGACAAGGGGGAACAAAACATGCATTTATATATATATAATTTATCGCTGTTGTCTGAAGAAAACCTTGTATCTCCATTTTTGTTGTTTTTCAGTTTTTGACATAATTTGAAAATGTCTGTTGCTCTTTATATTGTGTGTAAATTTCATGATGAATGGACCAAAATAAACAGACCAAAATGACTTGGGGGGGAAAAAATTCAGGCTCCATTGACTTACATTAAAAGTAAAGTATGTTTTTTCCTTCTCCTGTAAAGTTACCATTTTGGAGATATGAGGTTTTCTTCTGACAACAGCGATATATGTATGTATACATATGAGATGGAAAGGGCATTGTCAAGCCTTTCTGCATATGTGATGCATAGATTCCAGGCATAAAATAGCTTGTAAGTATCGCCCCTCACCATATGGTCCCCAAAATCTTTAACACATTAGGAATTGGGATGCATGTATTGTGACAAAAACTGTACCACATGATTTTGCCTCTCCTGAATTATCCTAAGTTAGACCTAGGAATTAAGCTGCAGACGGAGGAAAACAGCTGGGCTTTCCCGTCTCTCTTATCAGAAGGATTTGTGGTTAGGTGGTAAAGCTCTGCTCTCCAGACTTCACTGATAGCCACAGCTGGCCGTAATCACTGTTGTCAGTGTAGCGGAACTTCTGGACATTTTTGTTCAACAAAGTCAGACAGAGTGAGAATAAAGAAACCTTGAAGTCCTTTTACTAAATACTGTTTTAAAAAAGTAGCTAGGTGAGGTGTGAAGTGTCTGAGTGATGTTTGAGCAGTAACTGTGGAAAAGCCTTTGAGAAAAATATATGTAAAGCCATTTTTCTGTACAGTAAGTATTTACCTGTTTAAAATACATTAACATTTGAATAGCACAAATAATCTAATCTAATCAGTCCTTCATGGGGGCAGTCATGGGCTGGAGGTTAGGGAACCAGCCTTGTGACTGGAAGGTTGCCGGTTCAATCATCTGAGCCAACAGTACGTGACTGAGGTGCCCTTGAGCAAGGCACCTAACCCCCAACTGCTCCCTGGGCGCTGCGGATAGGGCTGCCCACCGCTCCGGGCAAGTGTGCTCACTGCCACCTAGTTTGTGTGTTCAGTAGTGTGTATGTGGCGTTGTGGGACTAATAACTTAATTAAATTGACTCAGGCGTGTTGCTGTTGAAATTCAACAAACCCTCAGCTGTCATGATCACTCTACTAAAATCGATTACTTGATTAGAAAAATTAATTGTGTAAAATTTGTTATTGATGAATCAGTTTAGTGATAGATTTGGAATATGATAAACAGGGTATCTGTTCTTCTTACAGTAAAAAACAAAGCCTGCCACATTTTCTATGCATTTCAATTAATTGCCACAGTTTTTCTTCTATTAAGTATTTTCAGAGATGTAGTTTTTTTTTTTTCTTTTTCAGCACTTTGGAATCTCTGAAAGGCTCTGCATTGTATGTTAGTGTTCAGTTCAACTTATTTTTATTGTTTGGCCAAAAAATAAACACACATTACTTGATTAATCGTCAAAATAATCACTAGATTACTCGATTACTAATTGAATTGAAAGTGACAATCCTAAACTCTGTGCAATGGCAGGAGTGCACTGACAAATCAGGAACCAAACCTGTACACTTTTAACTGTATTCTTTTAGCCAAGATATTAATATAAAAAAAGAGATTTCACCGTACTTGTACTAATGTTTATTTATCTTCCAATGTTGTGTAGCGTGTTTGTGTGTGTGTGTAGTAGTGTTTTTATACTGGCAAATTACACTTACTACAGAAATAATATTAATACTAAAAAATATTTATATTAATACTGTATAAGACTTCTGTAGTACTCTAGTTATTCTGCTACACAGTGCATCGATCCCATATCAACTCTACAGTACCTACACTCAGTTACAGGGTTGTGCTGCTTCTCTAGATAAAGCTTAAGTCATATTTTTTGTAATTCTAAATATTTTTACAATTTTTTAAATCATTTGTACAGTGTAATTTGTGTGGCAGTTCTCTTAATCACTGTTCTTAATCACACAATGCTATGGTAATACGTCATCACCATGCCCATTACCAGGTAGACACAATTTGCTCTTCACCAATATTGACTAATGTATTCATATTACGGTTTTATTTCAGTAAAGCTACTGTGAAAGTAGTAAAGTGAATGGAAAAATGTTAAAAGTCAGGAATTAAATCCAGTGAAGGCTGCAAAGTAATACAAGATAATCCTGACCTTCTCTAGAACTATTAGATGTAAGTCTCAAGACTCAATATTATAGTGTGTTCCACACACAAAGCAAGGTTTTTTGGTTTTCATGTTGTAACGTTTATGACTTTCTCTTAGTGAATCCGATGGAAACCACAGCGCAGAGGATGAGGATAGTAAGGCAGATCTGGACGACACTATTGACAAACCTGCTGCTCAAGATGCTGGAGGCTCAACTGCTTCTCTCATATCCCTCTCCAGTGCCCCCTGTAGTACTGGAGGTCAGCTCATTCTCAATAGCACAGGGGGATTCCTGACTAGCCCCCACCCTCTGTTGCTCAATGGGAGCCCTTTACTGTCAGGGACAGGAACTGGAGTTATTATTAATGGACTGACGCTGAGTGATGGCCACACAGTCACCCTCAGTCCCGTAACTGCTAATACTCCACTGTTACTCAATGGAGCACAGGTTATTTCTAAGGGGAGTGGGAACGACAGCAGTCCGGAGGAACACTGTGCTACCGATATGGAGACACAGGCCAGCCTGCCTACAGTGGTCCTGAGCCCACAAGCCAACCTCACTAGCACAGTACCTGTTCCCCTGACAGAGGAAGTGAAAGCATCTGACCGCAATGTCTCTCCTTTGGATTTCATCAGTGTTCCAGAGAATGTGACTATAAAGAATGGCGAAGCCACCCACACAGTACCTCCCACCTCCATATCCACATCCACCATTTCTTCCACAGTCATGACTCCCACCTCACTTCCTTCATTGGCACTGACTCAAAATGGCATCCTCTCTTCAACAGTTCCCCATTCAGGTACAGTCATTTCCAGCCCTGTAATGCCTGTACAATCCATCCAGCAGCCTGAAATTGTGGTGTTAGCAACTGCTGGTTCTCAGTTGAATCCCACTACATCCATTTCTCAAGTGGCACCTTCTTCCACTGTCTCCAGCCCTCAGGTCCTATCTTTGCCCCAGGTGGTACCCTCCATTCAGGGCATTCCAGTATCCCAGTTAGTGCAGAACCCAACAGGGACTCAGGTGTCCTCCTGCCCTCAGCTGGTGCCAGTGTCCCCCATCACGCCCCACATACCCCAGGGCTCCATCCCTCAGTTTCCATCCCAGAACCTGCATATTGGTCCCAGGATTACTCAGACCCAACCTCAGAATAGTTCTACCACACTTTGCGACAACACTGTTGTGTCTGTCCCCCAGGTGGTTAATGGACAAGTTCCCCAGGGGTTAACACTTCAGCTGGGTGACCAAACCAATTCAGCCGCCAACTCACAGATACAGAATCCACTGGGGAGCCAAGTTATTCCCATCTCCTCCCCAACACAAGTAGTGCCTGTTTCACAATCCAAGGACACAGGGCAGCCCCACCTGGTCCCTTTGCCCCAGCTCATGCCAGTGTCCTCCATGGCTGGAGCTCCTACAGGAACCATCTCTTTCTCTCAGGTGGTTCCAGCAGCACCCTCTCTTCCTATCCCATCCCCTGGAGGTGCTTTCCAGATTTTAACCTCTGGAACTGGTGCAGGAGTTGGTGTGCCCCAGGGAGCTATACGTATAACCCCAATTGGACCGCCTCAGAGTGCACCTACAGCTGGTGCCATTCCAAGTGTCCAGCTTCTTAATTCTGGGGTGATTCAGCTGCCTTCCGCTTCTCCAGGTAAGACATAGATGTTATAATATCCTTGGCATGTATTAGATGGGCCATATTAGAATTCACCAGAGTCAAATGGCCCTGAAACTCAACTGAACAAGGTTTACTGTAAGTTAATATACAATTTACAAATGCAGTGGACTTTTGTTCTTTCTTTTACCACTAAATAAGAGAGCTTGACCAAATCTTTCTGCTCTTATGCTCAGGAAACTTCGTCCTGGCAGGTGGAAGTCCATTCCTTAGTGTTCAGAATGGCAAACTTATCCTCACTATTCCAGCTGGCATCCAGTTCACCAGTGTGCCTGTGAAACCCGTCACGGAAATTCCAGGCCCAGGCCCAGGCCCAAGTCCCAGCAACAGTAGCAGTAGCAGTGGACTGGAGCACACTACAGTTGGGCCACCGCTAGATAATCAGCCAGTTTCTGCATCATCTGTGCCGACCTCTAGTCCCCTCCAGTCGTCTCTTTACATCGGTTCATCTGGACTATACTGCAGCCCTGAGCCTGGAACTCTTGCCACCTCTACTCCAGGGGCTTCTCCAAACACCCCAGACTCTTCCACCCCAACCTCCACCAGTATCCTGCCATCCCAACAGACCCTCTGCCCTGAGAGCATGCTTTCCTTCAGTCCTATTAGCAGTAGTGTGGCCAGTGGTCCCCATCTTCCTCAGCCAGCTTGGAGTCCCGTGTCTCTGTCCTCTTCGTCTGGCCTGACGCTGTTTGATGTACGTGGGAAAGGAGATCTACCTGAGGACCCAGCTTTGTTGGGCCTACCGGGTGGAGAGTCCCTGCTGTTAGGTGCCTCCCCTTCGAGTGATGTGGACAGGGAATCTCATCTTGACGATGTAGATATGGATGGGGACTCAAAAATTCTAACACAATTACAGTCTGTCCCTGTGGATGATGATTTGGGTTTGTAACTGTTCTTCTTGTGGGCTGCATATTAGAAGCCCCCCAGACAATCGGTGAACAATTTCAGTGAACAATTCATGTATGATCTCAGAGGTAAGAATCTTGGTTGTAAACACACGATACCTTATTTTTTCCTGTATGTTGAGATATAGGAAGTGCCTAGGTCTGACAGTGACGTGATCTATAACAGCTTGTAGCTTTTGTTGAAACCAGCAACTTCCTTTGGAGGTCTTATCTAGGCCTCGGCTTTACTTGCCTTTCTTTATTCATGTAAGACTTCAGGCTATAATTAACGCTACCTGCGATTCTCATGATGATCAGTTCTTCTCATTATACCCACTGTCTCCAAACAAGACATGGCACATTACCCTATTGACAAACAACCAGTAGCAGAGCTAATTTTTAATAGTGTAAATTATGCATGAACTTCAGTTCACCATGCAGTTAGTTTATACTAATTTATGAGATGATACAGTTTGTAGTTAAATATTTCCCTTATCAAACACTCCAGTTCAGTGTTTCCCAGCCTGGTCCTCAGGGACCCCTCAGACAGTCCACATTTTTGCTCCAACCTAACTCGACTCATAAGGATGAAGGCAAAATGTGGACTCTCTGGCAACCATGAGGACTGGATTGGGAAGCGCACTACAGTCCATCACTACAATGCACGGCACTGTTGGCCAGTTTATTTGAAAGAAAAAAGGCCAGCTTCTAACCAGGGGAGGGACTCTAAATAGAAGTTTCCATATATAGGCAGTGAAGATCTCTTTTGGATCTTGGCAGCTGGGAGCTCCTTATTATTTGTGCATTGAATCACACTGTCTATGTTAATTTTGCCAAACTATTTTCTGTGGTGCTAAAGACAGTCTTCAGATATTGCAGCGTCTTTGAGAATGGGGCTGACGGAGTAATACGTAGTATTTGTACCTTTAGTTAGCTACAAAATTTTGTCTCACTCTGATAAAAGGAGTGCATATTGACTTTGGAACAGGATGTAGACTACCCTGCAAGTTTGACACAACCACTGTTGAAAAGAAAGGCACTTCTCCAGCTCTTAGACCAGCATGAGGCTTCGCATGTTGTGACCATGTCATATTCCACATACGTTAAAAAGGGGTGGGCGATACGACAAAAATATAATATCGTAATACTTTTCACGTTACACGATATGCATCAAATTTAAACCATTAGAAACCAAAATTCACAATGATGTAGGCCTGTTTAATCTTTGTTGTTTTTGGATCAAATTTTGTACAGGTTTTCTCTTTCTGCAAAAATCGAAAGTTCTGTTTGTGGCCAAAATTTTGGTACGCTCCTAATATTTACTATTACTGAATTTTGAAAAAGTGGAACGGAGATATAATCACCAGTTGTGCCACTTTTAAAATACACCATTAAAACCTATGAATACATTTATTTTTGTTCAGCGTTTCACGGACTGCACTGCACTAAACCCAGTTAAACAGGCCTAATTATACTCTGTTTGTAATGAGACATGCAGTTTTTTAAATACTGACCATATCCATGATATGATCAGACAAGCATATTGTGACATATTGTGATAAACAGCAGTGATTAATATCATTTTGCCCACCCGTACACTAAAATAAGATACATTTTCAATGTTGTATATAATGTTATAGAAAGGCTGCTTTTTACTCCTTTAAATAAGACTGATTTAAATGGCTTTTCCAAGACGCACCTTGGCTGCGGTTTTGGAGAGAAAGCTTGAACTGATTTTGTGTGGGATATCAAGGTCAAATAGACACACAGTCTCTTGCATTAAGTTTTATCTTAAAGAGGAGATGCATGTTATATTCTGTTATGTTTTCAAACACTCAACAGAAATCTGATATTGTTTTCAGATTTGTTTTTTTCAGTTTTAGATACTTTATCGTGCTATCCATTTACCTTAGTGTAGTATCCGTCTGCAGTTTGTGTGTGTATATATTTTTAATCATTCGTGTACACTCAAAGTCTGAGCTAGCTCTTCAAAGCATTCTCACAGAGTGTCCCAGCTAAGCTAAATGTTACGTAGGTGACCCAGTACACTTAATTAATGCTGTTTGTCGCTCTCATGATGAACGCCGATGGTCTTTACTCCTGTTATGGCTCCACACGGGTTAGGTAGAAGTTACATGGAAGGCGTGGGACATTAAGGGTATAATGATTTCAATACAGCATCCAAAAATCGAATTTAAAAAGTGGATAGAAATTGAAAACTGCATCATAGATCGACTTTTGTTATCACTTTTGAGCGTCTTTTATTTACCATCTTTCATGGAAACCACTGTCAGCGGTCACAGCTAAATATTTTGGTACATTCTATAAGAGTATAGTGGGCGGAGAGGGGGTGGGTCTAATGATATGGGGACAGTCACTCTCAAATAACTGGGCTTTTTTCTGAAGAGCTTAAGGCCAAGTACATGAGTGTAAATGCTCCAAGCTATGCAAGCACGGTTTTGTGAGTTGTTGCATTTTGAGCCATGACGCATTTCATAACAGTGCAAGCACAACCTGCATTCTGAGCGTTAAAGCAAGAAGTGATGTAGCAACAGCAAAGCTGTTCAGTAACGACAGTGTGCTTCTTCTGGTCAGCTGTCCTGTTGGCAGCTATCGCAGCAGACCAGCAGTCCAGCAGTTGGACGATTCTCACAGAACTAGTTGGCTTGTATAAACATATTGTCGCTGTTGGGAGAAAAATTAACTTTGCAAAAACATTTTTTTTAATATACTTCCATTATAAGTTAAGTTTTTTTTTCATTCTTTCGAAAAAAGTTGCTGTTTTGGAGATGGAAGGTTTTGTTCCAACCAGAGTATGAGTGGTGCAGAGTGGGAGCAGTGCGCGGAGTGGAGCGGTGTGATTTTGCCCTGGAGCATGGAGCGGCTTTTTCAGAAAGTCAGAGCGTCAACATTCTCTCTCATTCTGAAATCGCTCCAATACGGTTCCAACCCATGAGCTAGACCACCTGTGTCAGGCTCCAGTCCTCTTGGGCCACGACACTGCAAACTTGAGCAAACTGCCTCATTAAGGTAAACGCTAATCTCTGCTGCATTTTGGCCCGGAAGGTCCCCAGTTTGACATGCCTGAGCTAAACAGTCCTTTTTCCACACTGACTACCTCTGCATGAGTGATGCGACAGCGTGTCTGCTACAGCTCGCACATCATGGCCATTCATACAGTGTTTGCGCTGTTGAACTGTTTAGCGGACTTGCATACTGGAAAGTCTCACCAATTGCAGCAAAGTTCTACAGGTATTACACAGAATTAGTCTCGTTTCATCCATTTTTGCACAAATGAAAGAGAGCTTGTTAAAAGCATGTGCACTGATACCCTTGACAGTTTCCTGGCTCGAGATTGGTCCATCGTTTCAAGTCTATACCTACTAAAAAGCCTGTGTGGCACAGGATGTTTAACTAGTGTTCATTTAATAACTGGCATAAATCGTGTAATTCATGGAATGACGTGTAGTGTCTTGTCCATATGTCCATATGTTTAAGACATAAAATGGATATCGTTAGAATGAATCACATGGAGTGGGTTTTCTCTGATGTTTGAGCGAGGAGCGAGCTAAGAATGGCTAAGAAACAGAAAATCTAAAGCAGAGTTGGAACGGTGAGGCTCTGTTGCTCCACTCCACTCACATACTCTGGTTCCGACAGCGACGATATGTTTGATACATCATCGCCTCTTGATTCCGACAGAACAAGTACAGCAGCACATGCTCCTCTACTGTCGTCATGTTTAGTTGTTGCGCCTGTTGTAATAACAGTTCTCTTCAGATGCTCTGATTTATTCTTTGTTGCCCTCTCTAGTAGTGAATGTTTCAACCACCACAGCAAAGTTCGAATGCAGGTTGAGTTTGTACAGAAGGACAGTGCGTTGGCCGTGCAGTATAATTAACGTTTGTGTACTTGCGTTATGTTTCTGGCCTTTACATTCTAGTGGCTGTAATTTTTGGGGTTTATTTTGTTAGAGCTTGGAATGCCAGGCATTGACAAACCAATCTGTGTAGTGCTTAATTGGTGCTCTGTAAAACCAAATGTTGAAAATTGAATATTGATCTCTAAATCAAACATCACAACCAACCTGCCAGTGTCTATCCTAGTGCACAAGCAAGTGCGCGTGGTGCAAACATGAGCACAAGGCATGTATTTAAGCACTCCTTAACTTTGCTGTGTTGAGAAAATGTATCATATCAAATCCAATATTGTATATTATTACACCCTTAATGGCTTTGCATCCAGTAGCAGGCAAATCTCTCAGTTTAAATCATGGATTACTTCACCATCCTAGTTTGAGATGTTACTCCTCAAACATTCGTGGCTTATCAAACACTCCAGTCCGTCACTACAATAAAGCGCATGCCGAAAAGGCACTACTGGCCAGTTTATTTGAACAAGGGGAAAAAAGGAATAATAGTGCTAACTTATATTTGAATATTTTTATCTATGCAATGATTTTAACTTGTCCCCTTGTGAAGAGTACATTGGTGCCCCAAGGTGGGATTAGTGGTTATAGATGTGATCTAACTCCACACAGACTATACAAACACATAAAGCTACAGTTTCAAACCTGTTTTTGTTAAAATTGGGTTTGTCCTATTGAGGGTAACCCAGTTTTCATGCTACACTACACCATGTATGTGTAAATGTTATTTCTGTGTATTTGTTCGTCTTTACTGGTTGAAGAGTATTTTTGTAGGATTTGTTTTCTAGTTGCACAAAATGTCTGTGTTCCACTCCTTTTTGGTCAAATCAAACAGAATCATGCTCCAGTAATTCAGGTCAAAGCTAAGACACAATGACTATTTTCATGAAGTGTTTTGTACTTTTTTTTAATCAGTTTTTTTAATATCCTAATACTAGTATATTGTATCAATACCTTTCTAGTTAATGTATGTAATTTGGCGTAAGCAATAATTCTGGGTGCCCCTGGTTGCAAATAAGGTTAGAGTGTACTGTAAGGGTCCTAGTCCTGAACTACGTTTTGCTTTCAATGGAGAATCTCCATTAAGGATGTTTAGTGTGTAGTCCAAGACTAGGCCTAAAGGGCAATTCCACTGATTTTTCAAATTTGCAACATAATTTAATAGCTAAGGTGTAAACAAAGTAATTCAGAGCGGTTTGATATAAAACGCTACCTTCTAGAGAAGGTCAGAAGACACAAGTAGGTTCACTGCTGGTTTTGGATAGAATCATATTTGATCTATATTTGTGCTGTAGGCATTACAGTCCCTGGTTCCTGTCCACCACTGTTAAAAGAGAGTCTGTATGTTTTTCTTAAACAAACCATTTCATGTCAAAGCACTCTGAATGACTCTGTTTACATCTCAACCACAGAATTATGCCGATATTTTGAAAAATGGGTGGAATTCCCCTTAAATCCCTGTCCAGGAAATTGACCCTAAATGCACAAAGTGAAATATTCTGATGGTTATTTCCAGTAGACCCATGATTTGCTCTATATAAAGGGCTCACCTCTTAATGTTTTGCACATTTTAGCCATGAAACGTTTACTGACTTTCTCTTTTTGGAAATCTGTGGTTCTACTGCAGCCGTCAAGAATTTGTGCAATTAATCTCCACTTAGTTTGGCTGTAAATGATGGCCTTTGGGGTCACTACCGCTACACTAGGCCTGTGGCACCCAGCGTTTGGTACATGTGATCTCACGTGTTAATTCTAGCCGTAAATGTGCCTTTTCTCTTTTCTACGTGTTTATTTTTTCTTTTCTGTGTGTATTTAAAGCATTTATCAGTTATGAAGCGGCATCCTGATGTTAGCGGACCTGAGAGGTTTCTAGTCAGGTTTGCACTGCATGCTCCATCAAAGAAAATGCCTCCTCTTGCATTTTGTATACTATACTTTCAAAAATACTTTTCTATGTAGTTGTATTTTACAAGTGTATTCAAAATAGGACATGTAGCATTTATTTGCCAAAGGTTTGTATTGATTTTACTCTCATCTCCTTCCTTCCATGCACCTGGATGTCTTTTTATATGTTCATGTATGTTTGTGTGTAAGAAACAAAGGGAATCTGAGTGTATTAGTGTGTATGTGTGTGTGAGTGTGAGAGTGTGAGAGTGTGAGTTTTGCTGTTACAGAATCGTATGTGGCTTGTTGTAGTTTAGTTTTTGCAGTACTCTCACAAATGTGTGACATCATGCGTCTACACCCAGAGGAAAGAAATATGCAGCTGATCAAACCAAAGAATTTTGAAATGTTCTTTAAAATGTAATAAAGGGATCGTTTCCTTTTTTACCGCATGATAAAACAGCAGATCTCTTTTTAAAGAGGTGTGTTTTGTACTTGTTATAGTTATTTTATTTTTTATATTCAGTTTCAGTGTGACATTGTATTAAACATCCTTTACAATGTAATCTGATTGGTCTCATGTTGTGCTTTTTGGACAATACCAGTTTCATATCTTAGAAAAAGGTGCCTTGAATTGACAGTAGTGGAACCCCTTTTTGGTGCTACGTGGATCGTGCTACCATAATAAAACGTAAAAATAAGAGCAACGATTCAGACCTTGGATATTTACAAGGATTATGTTATGATCTATTTAAACCTAAGGCATTAACTGTGATAGTGATAAATCACTGCTGAAAGAAAACCTCTTATCTCCATTTTTTTGTCGTTTTTCAGTTTTTGGCATAATTTGAAAATGCCTGTTGTCGTTTACATTGTGTGTAAATTTCATGAAGAATGGACCAAAAGAAATGACCCAGAATGACTTGGAAAACCGTCTGGTTCCACTGACTTACATTAAAATTAAAGTAGGTTTTTTCCTTTTCCTGTAAAGTTATCATTTTGGAGATATGAGGTTTTTTCCGATCAACAGCAATGTACAAAATTGTCACTTATAGGGTATTTTCTGTTGAGATGTGTCCGTATCAAACCCTAAAACCTAAATTTACACTTGTGAAAATAAAACTTTATTTTTTTGCATTTTTTAAATTTTTTTAAAGGGTATTTTAAGCAAAGCTGAGATTTATATTTATTGTGAGTTTAAATTTCGTATAAATACTTAATTTAGAAAATTCTGTCACTACTGAAATAGAGTTTTAATATATGGGTGTGGCTGCATTTTAGCCACGCCCCTGCATTTTAGAGCAGGAAGCTAGGCTTGCATCTCTGTCTCTCATGGCTACATGGTAAGCAGTGAGATCCCATTGTTTTGAATATGTGTGTACAGCTGTTCAAAGCTGTGTTTACTGGTCATGTACTGGCTGTGTTTTTAGGTTCTGCTCTAAATGATCTAAAATCGTCAGTACTGAAACAGTCTCTACTGAAACATTTGGTAAAGTTAATTAAGGTTTAGGGTCACTCAGCAAAAGGAGTCTGGAGTCTAAAGTCCAAGTCAGTTAAAAGTCCAAACTGAGTTTTCAGCTCTGACTTTGAACCAGTTTGACAGAATGATACAGATGCTAAGAACCATACACAGCAGGTTCTCCATTATGGAAAAGAACCTTTCAACATTCAAATGGTTCTTTTAGTTGTTATATATATAAAAGTGTTCAAAAATTTGGAATATCCAAACCAGAACAGAAACAGGTGGTATAGTTTTTTTATTAAGTTATGACATGGAAGAAACAGATACAGTTTTATAGTCAATGTTAATAAATTATAAACTGCAGTTATGTACAGTCCTATACAATATTGTTTTGTTGACTTTCTAAGTGAAAATAACTCATCCTCTACACATATCTGCACATTTTAATGCATAATTATTATTTATTTACCTTTTATTATAAAATCTAATTTAACATTTTATGTTCCATTTTTTCAATATGCAAATACACAGAAATTGTGGGGAAAAAATCGCATAAAACTGCCATATTTAAGTGTGTAGGGGAGTGGTTAACTACTTTTCACATAATTTAACCAGGGGTGTTTTAACTTCTGCATATGACTGCATTCATAGTCATTTCCAGACACAGCATTACTAAGAATGACTATTTGATCAGCAAGATTTCATCACTTCATTTTTAATAAGAGGCATTCTGGAAAAATTAATCCATTGTCCATGTTATACAGCTTTCTCAGTTGTAGTTTCCTACAATTCGCTTGAAACCTATAGGACATTAGGATACTATGAGAATCATTGATAACACTTTTAAATAAGACTACACTTATAAATCGTTCATGAATGGTTTAAAATGAGTTTATTAATGGTTATTTATTAGGTCTTAAAGACCTTCGAATCATTAATATGCATTTACAACACATAAATAAAAAGGGTAACAGTGGCCTGTTGTTTGCCTAACAGTGAACTCACATTAATTTATACTATCAAACTTCAGATTTTGATGTTTACTGATCTTATTTTGTCTTCTTCATAAGTCAGCATTAAACCTGTCAGCTTCATCACATGAACCTTTTTATTAATGTGTTATAACTGCTTAAGTGTTTATGACCTAACTAAGAACCATTAACAAACTATTTTTAAAACATTTATAAACCCTTTATAAAGGCAGTCTTATTTTAAAGGGCACCAAATCATTTTGTACCTGTATGTACAACAAGAATGGGCTTATGAATGGGCTACTGGAGCTACTGCACAAGGGGCTCTGACTGCCAGGGGTCTTGGGGGGCCTCAAACCTCAAGGCCCAAGGTAGCTCGAAAACTTGGGACAATCTGCTAAATATATAAATATTATATCAACAAAAAGCCATTGAATAAAAGTACCAATAGTTTAATAATAATAGTTTTATATTATTAATGACTTATTAAGGATTTTGTTGTTGCCATTCAGGCGGGATGTTTCCGATGGTGGGTGATAGTGGTGTTAGCAGTTACCCTGTTTAGACTTGGTTATGAAAAAACTTCATACTATGTTCTAAATAGTAGCTCAAAAATAGTACTCCACTATTATAATAGTAAGAAATAAAGGTTCTGTGCAGGTACGTTTTTTGTTCATCAAGGTACATACAATGTAAACGTATCCACAAATTTACAACAGTGGTTTTAGGGTCTAATTGTGTACCTTAAATACATTTTTTTCCAGGTGAAAAGTTCATATTTGTGCATTTTCATAACCTAATGTTTTAAAACAGAACAGTAAAATAAAAGCCTGGAGACGAGACGGGGTGTGTGGAGTCAGTACAACTTCGAAAACATCATTTCAATGGATTGTGGTTCAGTTATGTTCCCTGACTAAAGGTACTGAGATGTATCCTTGAGGGTTCCACCCCAGTGACAAGAGGGGCACTGCACCAGTCACAGTTTAGTACCTATATTACTAAGAGTGCAGTACATTCATTAGTAGAGTATATATCCATCTATCTATCTATCTATCTATCTATCTATCTATCTATTAATTAATTATGCATTAGTGTTAGAGTCCAGGGGTGGGTGCCAAGAAATGCCTCACAGCCTCTAAAGATCCTGATCCATCCCTGATCTGCAACAGAACTGTTTGTTTATTAAAGAAAATATGGGCCAAACTTTTGACTGCCGATTTCAAACTACTACTAAAGAACCTACGAAGAACCCTATTTTAAAAGATGTGGACCAGTCATTGCTTTGCACAAAGTATATTAAAGCATCGCATACATAACTGCTATCTGACTGCAATAGACAGTGAAGGCCTGATTTTTTTCAGGTGCACATTAAGAGGCAAATCATCTCCATCGTTATATAAACACGTATATGTCAGGCACTGCTGTCATCACTAACCAAATCCATTTAACAAACGTTGAGGCCCTCATTTGCTTTGGAAATAAGATTGCATTTAGATTTAAATGTGCTCCTTTTTGATCCCGTGGCTTTCCTGAGTATTTGAGATACCAGCGAGGCACCAGATTAACAGGTTTGTTTTTGTTTTTTTTTTTAGTCTTATTTTGTGTGTAGGCATGACTCAACTCAGAATGTGTGTCAGTGCTTGTCAGTGTTTTAGTAACCCTCATGGTCTCCAGTTACCTGAGAGCACTTCACTGTGGGCGGATCTTCTCAGGTGAGAACAGGCAGAAGTCTGTGAAACCTCACACACGCTAACACAGCTGCTCAGCTTGCCAGCACTTCTTTCAGCCGCTCAAAGGATTAACAAGACATCGGCATCTTCTGCTTAAAGGACAAACCAGCTCGGAGGGCCACTCATCATAATAGAAGGTACTTTACTGATCATCTAAAATGTGCCTGTGCAATCATATTTAATAGCTTTACTGATTTTTATTGCTGTACAATAAATGCTAGAATGTGGGGCTCATATTACTATAAGTAGAACACAAATACTGCTAGTATTAATAATAATATAATAATAAAATAAATAACAAATAATATCATTAGGCCTATAAATGCATTGTATTTCATGATTGTATTGACTTATTGACAATAAATGTGAGGGTCACATTACTAATACTAAATACTAATACATAAATGACTACTACTACTAATAATAACAACAACCATTATTATTATTATTATTATTATTATTATTATTATTACTTGTATAACACCTTTCATTAATACCAGTGATAACCAGTGCTTCCTAGTTAATATAAGTTAATATAAATAATACCATATTGCCCTTTAGGTGGGAGCTCTTTAATATGTAGGCCTATATTTATGAACTGTATTTCAAGAATGTATTATGTAAGTATTATTATTAGAATGTATATACTAGCATTTGGAACTCATTAGTACTAGTAAAGCACCAATTACATTACTATTAATAATAATAATGCACCATTTACATGAGTTGCAGTTCATCACATTACTGGCTTTTACTGCAATAAAAGAAACTGTAGTACTTGGGGCTAATATTAATAGAACACTAGTACTACCACTACTACTACTACTACTACTACTACTACTATTATTATTATTATTATTATTTTATTATTATTATCATCATCAAAAATAATAATTATTATTTGCTCATGCAGAAATGCAGATTAAGGTGCTTTACAAAAATTCATGATTCCAATCCAATTCAAATAGTACACTGATACTATTAAGCCTATAATGGCCTATTTATATGAACTGTATTCCAAGACTTTATTGACATTTATTGCAGTAAAAGCAATGCGGTGCTCATATTTTTAACATCACACTTCTACTACTACTAATATTTTCCTGTATAGCAATATTCATACACACTAATCAAGTTTACGATGCTTCACAAACATTGCTACATTTTTACCATTACCATCTATGTAAACTGATATATTTAATGACTTTATTTTGTTGCAATATAAGAAATACTAACAAACTAGGAACCTCACTACTAATAAAATCTCAAGACTACTATAACACTTTTAAAAACTAATGGTGGAAGGCAGGGTTCTTTGTGTGACGTCATAGAAAAACTACTTTTGGTTTTCTAAAGAACCATATCAGAAAAAGATCTGTGAGGGTGAAAAACCTTTTAAATGGTTTGATGTAAACATTCATATAACGTAAAGTTTATATACCAATAGGGGTTCTTTATGGCAGTTCTTTAAACTTTAAAAAGGTTCTTCACACTCACACAGTTCATTTAGAGAACCTAAAGTGGTTCCTCTATGGCATTGCACACTGTACACAATGAGTGTACAGTGTCATTTACTGGTCTAGAACCTTACATGGAGCTCAAGGTGCTCAAGCAAAACTGACATAAATATAATACCATTAGACTATTAGTCCTATATATTAACACTAAATGATTAATGCAGTAAATTGATTATTAATACTGTTATTGTGCTCAATTTTGGGTCCAGCTGCTTCTGGCCTTTTACTCAAACAACTAGAATCCTTTATCATATGAAATTAAATCTGTCCTCCAGACACGCACCTCTGTGACCATGGCGATGGTCTTTTCTGAAGACCAAGTGGCGTGTGTCTGTGAGGTTCTGCTGCAGAGTGGGTGTTTGGACCGTCTGGCTGCTTTCCTTCGTTCCTTACCCTCCATCTCATCTTCCTCCTCCTCGTACCTGGGCCTGCAGGGCGTGGAGAGCGTGCTGAAGGCGCGTGCAGCCGTGGCGTTCCATCAGGGCCGCTTTACAGAGCTGTACGCCCTCATAGAGGGGAACGTTTTCTCCCCCCGCAGTCACTCTCTCCTCCAGCAGCTGTGGCTGAGGGCGCATTACCTGGAGGCAGAGCTGCAGAGAGGGCGTCCTCTAGGGGCAGTGGGGAAGTACCGCGTCCGCCGCAAATTCCCTCTGCCTCGGACCATCTGGGACGGAGAGGAGACCAGCTACTGCTTCAAGGTACTGAAGCTGGAATGTCTGGAACATATAAATGCACACAAAGTGTTCTATTAAAGAGGAATTCTGTTCATTTTTCATATTTCAAATATTCCGACATGTAAACAAAGGCATTCAGAGTGGTTTGGTGTGAAATGGAGTCAGATTTCTTTAAAGTGGTGGTGATGGGAACCAGGGGTCCCAATGTCTACAACGCAAATACAGCTATTTTATGTATTACGCAGAGTGGCAGGTGAACCTACACAGGTCTTCTGAGGTTTTTTATGTAATGCTGATAATGATTAAATAGTTTATAATCAAAAAAAAAATTTTTGGGGGACTATTTTGCCTCACTGCATGTATCTTTCCGCCATGAACGTATACAAAAAAGATAAAATTAGACCAAAACTTCAGTAAAATAATGTATCAGGCAGCTCTTTTATAACCATTTCATGCAATATCGTTCTCTAATGTAGCTTTTAAAGGAACTGAATGTTTCAGATGTCTGGTTCCTATCACTGTGAACAATTCTGACTTGGTTAGTTTCTGTAGAAAGGAGCATTTCAGATCAAACCACTCTGAATGACCTATGCAGAAATTTTGAAAAGTCATAGGGATTCCCCTTTAACATACAGTACCAGGCAAAAGTTTGAAGACACACGTTTGAAAGTGAATGCTTGTTTTTTTTAATCTTAAAGATATTTTCACCCACCCTCTTTCTTTTTAAGAGAACCCAAAGGAATAGAAGAAGAAAAAAATATCTTCCAGAAAATCCAGAAAGTGCTAATCTAAGAATCAGATTCAGTTCAGACGTTTCTTTAACAGTTTTTCATGAAAGCTAAATGTAAAAGAATCAAGAATAACCAGACTAAACGATTACAAAATACATCAGTATATGAGCTGTCGATAAAAACGATCTGTAAGAGCTACGGGCAGAACAAGCTATCAAACGTTAGCAAATACGCATAACGCTAGCTAGCTAGCTCTGGTTTTGTGTGCTAACTAGCCAGCTAACTGTTATTTCTAGCATTAGCTTGCTAATTAGCAAGCTGGTCAACTCACTGGGCTTTTACTTTTCTGAGACAAACTCCTGCAAAAGTCCCAGCAACTTATATCACCATAAATGTTTGTAAAGGTTGACAAGAAATTATGAATCTTCATGTGGCACTTTTTTCCCACCAGTTGTTTCACTCAGAGTCTCTGAAGGTCGAGGACTGATTCATAAAAATCACTGCAGCCTGAGCATCCAGAGAAGTGAAGGCCACTGATTTTGCTGCTCTCCTTTATCCTCTCGATATTTCAGCTACTTTTGACTTCGCAATCAAACCTAATCTTTAGGTTTTAACAAATATAAAATTGTACAACTGTCTCTAGACTCCTCCCTTCATATGGTATTATTGATATCACTTTTTATGCATGACTGGAAGAGCTGTCCAATTTTAAACCTGATGTACAAAGAGATCTGTGTCAATTACATTTTTCTAAAATATAAAGAAGTTCTTTTCCACCACAACAGAACCTTAGAACCTTAACGGGGCACTTTGGTCAAAAAGAAACAATTATCTATTGATTTGGTTCCAGTTTAAGAACTAGGAAACTTCTTTTCTGATCTTGAAGGAGGGATGATTTTTTAGTAAAGGCAGTGGTTCTATTTAGAAGGCGTTCTATATAGGACCATTTCAGGTTTAAATGGTTCTTTGCATGGTGAAATGTCTCTTCAGATTGATGGAGAATGTCTTGTATATGGTTGTGTGTAGAATGTTTCTGGGTTGTTTATAGCACCAAAAAGGGTTCTGCTGTTGTTACGATGTCAAGACTGTAACAGTAGAAGAACACTTTTTGGTTCTGAGCTGCTCTATCCTGGTTTATGCTGGTCTGGTACTGGTTTAGGTGGTCACCCCAGCATGTTCATACTGGTTGACCAGCATACTAGCATCCAAAACACAACGTATACTGGATTTGCTGGTGACCAGTAGTGCTGGTTTATGCTGTTTATTCTAGCAGGAGTGTTTATAGCATTTATAGAAGTGGCTCCTACTCAGGATTTGTGGAGCGCTGTGTATTTGGGCAATGCATGTTGGGTATTGTAGTGAGAGAGCACTGATGTCCAAAAAACACAAAAATGAATCCAAACAACTAATAAATACATCTGTGCTAGCTAGCATTATCACTTAGCTCAGTGGGCCAATATGGAAGATAAATATACAAATAAACTGTTTTGCTTAATGTACTAATTGGTCATTTAATATAAAGGTTTTACCAGTTAAACCTTTTTTTTTTTTTTACTAATTTTCCCAAGAGCTGTACACCTGAACCAAAAACTATTTGGTGCTTTATTGTTAAGAACGTAAAGGCTTTTGCTTAAATGCTTTATGTTTGTTTCTATTTATTACAGAACTTTAGTGAAGCTTCTCTATTGTATGCCATTTTTCCAAATATGTGTTTTATTTCAAAAACAAAATATGTACCAACAGGGTCTCAGCATTTGCCTGTTGGCAAAGCATCCCAGGTGGCTCCTGATGAAGCAGCTTGAAAGAGCACCAAGACTACAAAGCTGCATCAAGGCCAAGGAGGGGCTACTATAGAAGATACTTTTTCAACATGTTCCATATGTGCTTTTTCAGGGGTCGGCAACTCAAATGTTAAGAGCCATTTTGACAAGTTTCAACAAAAATCTAACCACCTTGGGAGCCACAACATTTCACGTTCATTTTATTGAAGTAATGTTTCACCATCTTGGCTGTAAATATGTCTCAGTATGTGCTGATGTACTAGGATAGGCTAAAAAATATAATATAAAGGAAACAAAGACTTACTTTGCTCTGCTTTAAGCTGTAACCCAGCTGTAGCTGCTTTTCTCGCATCTCTGGCAGGAAACATTTCCGCAAAAGTAGAATAGTTTCTTGTAAAATGTCTCTTAACTTTTTACAAAGCTTTAGTCAGCTTGTGATTCGCCAGCTTCTTGTTCGAATTTTCCTGTTCCGCCTTAAATGGTGTCGAGGCACCAGATTGTATTTAACTATGCAGCTAACTGTTGCATCATTTAAGGTGGAACATGAAAATTTAAACAAGAAGCTGGCGAACGAGAAACGACTTCAGCCTCGCAACTTTTCAGTGTTTGACAGTTTCTTGTTGCAGATTAAACGTATCAGGAAACCAGCTGGACTGATTATGAATGCAAACAAGTCTGCAAACGCAACTGTGTTGAACGATCAGCAGAGCTTTATTTTACTGTAAAGGAGGATTATTTTATTATTACCTACAAATCTAATTCTGCTGTGGAGCTGCAACAGGACAGTAAAAGAGCTGCATGTTATTTTAATATTTTTGATGCTTTCACTGTTATTCTCAAATGTACAAAATAGTTCAAATAAGGAAACCTAGCAGGTGTATGTGTCCAAATGTATTAGCAGGTACTGTATCATGACCTCTGTAAGAACAGGTCCATAGATCTGCATGAAGGTGCCAGATTACCATTCTCCATGTTCTGTGTGTGTGTAGGAGAAGTCCCGGTGTGTGTTGAGAGAGTGGTACTGCCGGAAGCCCTACCCCTCACCCCGGGAGAAACGCGATTTGGCCGCAGCCACCGGCCTCACAGCCACTCAGGTCAGCAACTGGTTCAAAAACCGCCGCCAGAGAGACAGAGCTGCCCAGGGCCGCAAAGGGTGAGTCGCGTCTGTAAATATAAGCTGGAAAATATAAATATAAAACCTCTGTGAGACCAAATATAACTGACCGATCAAAACATGTTTGATGTGTCAAGTTTGCTTCTTCAGTTTTTGCACTTCAGCGAGGCTGATGTAGCCAACATTTTAAATAATCCTAAACAGACTTGTGTTGGTGTTGTTTCTGATGCTGTATGACATACTCTTATCTATAAACAACGGACGAAAGTTCATCACATAGCTGAAATAGCTAAAAACTGTATTAGCTGCCATTCTGAAACCTGAAATGTGTTGTTCTTGTCGGGACCAAGGGCTTTCCCCTTCACCCCCAGGCCTCCAACATAATATTATAAAAGAAGAAATCTTTCAATACTGGCTTAACATTTACAGTAATAACAGTTTTAAATCTAAGTTCTCAAAGGATGTTCAAAAGGAAAGAGTTGCTGAGTTGTGGAAAGAGAAAAAGGCTTCTTCTTTATTTCAGCATTCAGATGGCACCCAGGCCTCCGAGACCGACTGCGTGAATACAGAGTTCGGACAGCGCCTTATATACCCTTAAATGAGGTGCTATGATGTCACCTCAAAACTTGATGTTCCATTAGACCCTATTCAAAAGCTTCCCTGCCACTTGGCCTCTCTTAAGTTTACTGCGTACAACACTGGTTTCAGCCAGTTGGTACCAGTTTATCTGATTCTACAAGGCCCTACTGGACCATATATCATAAGGACTCATATGAGTTCACTGAAAGTGCACCTGCAAGTAAGGCCATCTAAGGTCATCTGCTTTTGAAAGCCCCTGAATGGGCAGACTATGGCCTAACGCATCCTCTATTGCCTCTTAGAGAGACATTAATAGTAAGTCTATTACATTAGCTTTAGCTCCAAAACTAAAGAATCAAACTTCAGATACCAAACATGTCTTAGTATGTTAGCATGCATGTGATGATTTAGTTATGCAGTTTACACAATGATAATTGATGAGGTATCAGCTTTCTTGGGGTCATCTAGTGCCCCTTATTTGCTCACTGAAATTTCTACAACACAGCGCTGTGTTCCCAGGGCCCCAGTCATGTTTCTTTAACATTAAAAATTAGATTAACATCCATATTTCCATTTAGAGAAACATTCTGATATTACATGCTTAGTAAATAATTTCTGAAGTTGGGCTTTGGATTTTTCCAAATAGATTCCTTTACTAGATCACACTCTGGTTCTATTTCTATAAGAATGAGGATCTGTTCAGTGGTTTGTGTTTTTACTCATTTTATTTTAACTTCACAATATTAACAGCATTGCAAAAGATTAGTAAAGCTGCATTCTTGCTAACAATGGAATCTTTGACTGTCCTCACTGACAGGATCTTCTCTCTGTTTCAATGCTGTTGCAAATATGCGCTTCTCAACTTGCCCTCACCTTTTCCCTTTGGGGGAATCCGCAACGCCATCTTAAAGACAGCTCCATTCCAAAGTTTGCTTAGTTAGCAGTTAGCTCACTGAGGCAAGCCTAGCTGACGGCAAGTCCATATGTCCTATTGAAAAATCTGTCCCCTTTTTGACCTTTGATGACCGCACCATGCTAACCCTGTTTTTTGAGAACCCTTTCGTAAGTTTCCTTAATGTTCCTTAACATATGCAAATGTTTGGGCACCTCGGTCAGGTGACGTTTTGTTGATTTTCCAAGTGAAAACACACTTCTGCACACTTTAATGCACAATGACTGTTTATTTGCTGAGTTTAACAAACTGGGGGCAAACATATTTTCCAATATGTCATATATCCAGCACATAAACAGAATGTCACTGTAGAGCTGGTGTGTCAAATTCAACCACTAAAAGGGTCATATTAAAAAATCTCAACAAATCCGTGGGCCAGCCGTTTTTATTTTTGCTTAACATTTTGCCATGACTGCAACTGGCCATTGTTTGTTCAAAATATGACAAAATCACAGCGGCACTGAATACCGGAACAATTAAAAATAATTTTTTATCAAATAAATTGTTTCATATAAAACAACAGACCACATTAGCTACAGATACTGTTAAACCTCTTTAAATGTCCCCAGTGTACAGTAGGTTTTAAAATTGCCCATTCGCTGGAACCAGACACCTGGCATCTTTATTTGTTTTTGTGGTGTTGTCCCATAGATCGTTGTTGGGGAGGGGGTGGGAGCACACATTACATTGCAGGGCATGCTGGGAGCTGGTGCAGCTCACGGTGAAATTGGCTAATATTAATAGAAAATTACAGTTATTTTGTGGGCTGAATAGGATTGTGCCACTCGGCCCATGGGCCTCGTGTTTGACACGTGGGTCGTACAGCACATGGAAACTTACTTTCACTTCAAATCAGCAAAGCACATAATTTGACTGGGGGGTGTTCAAACATTTGCATTCAACTGCAGAAAGAGATGAGTGAATGTAAAGCCTGGGAATGTTCTACATTCAGCTTCTGTTACTTCGCATTTCCCTCATAGTTCCAGTACAAAACTACAGAAGCGAATGTCGGACACCAAACACGTCTTGGCTGTTCAACAGCATTTAGGGTGGGGGGTAAATTTAATTTAGATTGTTTCCAATCTATAACTTTTTAAAATGCCTTAAATTAAAGGAAATCACAGGCTACAGAAGTTCATGATGAATTTAACTTTGTGTTTTAAAGGCCTGGCGGCTCTCCTGATTACCAGATTCTGCAAAAGCCTGTGATTCTCAGTGTTTATCCGAAAATACCATGTTTCTTTTTTTGTATAAATTACAGATCCCTGCTTTAAACTGCCATGTTCACTCTCTCTCTCTTTCACTCTCACAGTCAACTGGAAGATTCAATGCCACAGCAGTTCTTCTGCTCCACTGGAACATCTAGAGGTGCCTTCCATAGTTCGGACGATGACCTTTCACCTCCAACGAGCCCCAGATCACTGTACCCCTGCTCCCAGCTCTCCTCCGCCCACCCGCCGCCTCTCAGCCACCTCGGGCCTGCTCCCTACTCTCCCTACTGATGGGGGCCTAATCTGGGTCTTGAATGCAGACTGACCGCTCCGTTTACACTTCAGCATGTTGGAAATACAAGTAGAGTCTGAACACAGACAGCTGCTGCCACCTGCTGGCACAGCAGAGGAAATTCATTACTTGTTAGTCTGATTCTGTTGGACGAATTGTACGAGTAAAACTGGGCTATACGGAAAAATATAACACCATGATACTTGAAGACATGAAACATATCACAAAGTTTTTTTTCTGAGGTTGTGAACAAGTTTGAATGAACAAATTGCAACAGCAAAACAGAGAGACATGTTTCAAAAAGGCTATGAAAAAATATGAATACATTTTTTTTTTTGCAAAAACATTTCAGAAGTAGCAGGAAGATAAATCGTAGAAGCCCATTTCTGCCAGGTAGAGGAGAAGAAAAGCAGTATGTCAACATTTTGACTTAAAATAATGACTCTGTTGAAATAATGACTTATTTTCCTGAACCTTTTTACTTTGTATCTCAAAATAATGACTGACTCTCAAAAACATGACTAATTCAACTTCAAGGAAGTAATTATTTTGGGATGTCATTATTTTAAGTCAATGTATTTCAACATAATGACTGTCGAGATACTAAGACAAAATTTTGAAATACAGCTGCCAGAAATTGGAGAAAAAAATACATATCGTCACTGTCAATACAGAACCATGTATGTCCATTTTTACTATATGTTTATCATTTTTTTATATATACATTTTGAAAACACCACCTGCCATTTACCCTGTTTCAAAATTTCATGACAAACAGAAATGCTGAAATATGACTTAAAAACAAATCTTGTTACATCATCATACATTAAAAACAAGGAACGTTTTTTTTACCTTCTGCTGTAAAGTTACTTTTTTGTAGAAAACGTTTGTTCAGACAGTGACAACAGGTTATTTATTTGTCCTCCACTTGGCAGGAATGGACTTCCATAAATAAATAAATAAATAATGCAATAGACTGACATTCAATCAACTACATATTACTATGCAGTTTATACAGTTATTATACTGGTTGCTGTTGTTTATAGACTCTATTATTGGTCCACATTGTTTTTTTTTATGATACATACAGTTGTTAAGTGTTATAGATGTACTGACGATACTCTCTCTCTCTCTCTCTCTCTCTCTCTCTCTCTATATATATATATATATCAGAGAACTGTACTGTAGCACAATTTATCGCAGTACTAATTTCTAATGTCATCATATTGTCCTCTACAGCTGATAAAGAAGACATCATGTGAAAGTTGAATGGATTAAGCCTGGTCCTGGACTAAATTGCAATGCCAACGATGAAACACCATTGTTAGTCTAGCGTGATCTCAGTAGGGGTGCAACGATACAAATATTTTCAGGTCTGATATGGTTTTCATTTCTGAGGTCAAAATTTTACAACATTTTTCATATTTTACATGTTAAACTGTCTTAATTATAAGGTGGTGCCACCCCTCTAACACAATAAACCCAAAAAAACACCTAGAATAAATTTGTATGTGACTTCAGGATTAAAAGCCCAGTCATTTGAGCGTAATGAGTGCATAGGATAAACCCCACCCCCTCCCGCTTAGAAGACACCAAGGGACATATCAGCAACCCAGGTTTTAAAGTTCACTTAAAGAGATGACTGAGCTGCTGCAGCTGTATGCAATTCTTTTGTTAAAGGGAGTCATGAAAGATGCTTTTTTTCTGAAATACTGTTATTACTTCTTGTATTTTTGCTCAGCTTTGAAACAAACCACATTTACACTCACATGATCGGGTCATCTCAGTGTAATTTGCTGTAATGTAAAAAAGATCTAATCACTCATCACCTATTAGGAGGTCCCAGTGTACAACTATGACAATAAAACAGACACAGACAACTTCTGTCCGAGTTTATTAAGAGTTTAACTGCAACGTCTTCTTTTCACTGCAGAAAGCAGAACGACCAAAGAGAAAACCTGATACATCTGATAAAACTCACTTCAGGTTCCTCTAAAATGAAACCACATTCTTTGACCAGTAAATGTGTCTCAGTTGGAATTTGTACGGATTACTGTACTGGCACTAGCCTGGATTAAGTCCATCTCCACATTTAAACTAGGGCTGTCACGATAATTCAATTAAACTAATTTACATGATTTAAATTCTCGTACTGCTGTCTCTTACAGTAACAGAGCCTAATTGACCATTTATATACATTTTTCAGAGTGAATTAAATATATTTTTCAAAATATATTTTCAAAAAGGCTTTCTAGTATGTATTATGATTCTGATTCAGACATAAATGGTTTGTATGTCATCCATCCATCCATCATCTAAACCGCTTATCCTTCTGGGTCGCGGTGGGGTGCTGGAGCCTATCCCAGCTGTCATTGGGCGGAAGGCAGGATACACCCTGGACGGGTCGCCAGTCCATCGCAGGGCAGACAGACAGACATACACATTCACACACACACTCACACCTAGGGGCAATTTAGCACGTCCAATTGGCCTGACTGCATGTTTTTGGACTGTGGGAGGAAACCGGAGTACCCGGAGGAAACCCATGCAGACACGGGGAGAACAGGCAAACTCCACACAGAAAGGACCCTGGTCGCCCGGCCGGGAATCGAACCCAGGCCATTTTTGCTGTGAGGCGACAGCGCTACCCACTGCGCCACCGTGCCGCCCTTGTTATTGTTCAGTTAGGTAATTTTTATGGTTTGGTCCATAAAAAAAAGTGACTAATATTTGATAATAATTGATGACTAATATTTTGAAATAGATTACTTGATTCTATATTGTTTAAATTATTTTGTTTTATTACCTTTTCACTATGAAGCTCTGCTACATGCATGAAGTGAAAAGTTATTATTATTACTATTATTATTACTATTATTATTATAAATCAGGTAGTGACAGCCCTAATTTAAACACTTTCTATCAGATGAATCTTTCTCATACCCCACTATTATTATTATATTATTATTTTCTTTTTATATTTTATTTGTATTACTTTTATTTCTAATATATCCTCGAAACAATTTGCAATAAAGAAAAAAAGCACTGTTCATAGCATGTGACCTTCTTGCTGTCCGACTCTGTGTTGAACAACAATAAAGAGATTTAACAGTCGTAACCTAAGGCATGGCAACAATAGCATTAAAAACATCAGCATGTGTTCCAGGTTCAAGAGCACATTCCCATTTGGAAGCTATTACTTTAAAGATGAATCCCACTGATTTTTCATAAGCTCTGCATAATTCAGCGAACGAGACGTAAACAAAGTCATTCAGAGAAGTCTGATGTAAAATGGTTCACTGTAGAGAAAATTACAGACTCAGATTTCTTTACAGTGGTGCTGATAGGAACCAGGGGTCACCATGTCTATAAGACAAATATAGACATTTTTTTCCATCCAAAATGACCAGTGAACCTACATGCGTCTTCTGAGCTTTTATATGCAATGATGGTATCTGAATCAAACCCTTCAGACGTCTGGTTCCCATCACCACCACTGTGAACAATTCTGGCTCGGTAAGTTTCTCTGGAACATTTTACATCCAACCAGCCTAAATAGCTTATTAACCATTCTTAACCATTTAACCAGTTAATTATTAAGCTTTACCATCGTATTCTGCTTGCCTCACATTGAGCAGGTTTTGGTATTGAGAATCGGTTCCTTATTTGGAACCAGTTCTAAACAATCCAATTCCACCAGAATTGAAATACTAAATAACTCACAATCCCACAGACCTGTCGATGCCTTTCAAAACAACACAGGTGAAGAAAAAACAGTTCTTAGTGGGATTTATCACCCAGATATCTAACCAGCACTGCATGTCTGCACACAGAGCGAAAGGTTAGTAATCACTGGCTCAATTGCAAAGACTGATACAACTTATACAGTAAGTCAAATCCACTGGACGATCAGACAGCGTATGCAGTCTTTGGCTCGAGTCTGAGCAACAGAAGTCTTTTCCAGTCCAGTGGGATTACAGGCTGAAACAGCAGTTTCGAAAGCTGCCAAAGCAGGTGTATTTTGGCCACTGTGACCTATGGCTCTTTTTCAGCAAATAAATAAATGCTGTATAGTAAGTGTCAGTGTACCGCACTCCTGTGGGTCCTGAATGTATGTTTATGAGCAGAATCTGAGGGGTAGCAGGAGTTTACTCAGAGGTGCAGATACTCAGCCAGGAAGACAGCCAGGATTTTGGTGAGGTTTTCCACTGTGGGCCGGTGCATGTTCCTTTCCGTGTCCTGCATTGTGTGCCAGAATGAGGGGAACGGTGTGGGGATCACGTGGAGCACCGGAACACCTGCAGGGACAGGTTTATGCAGGTTAATGAGGACCTGGGCCCACATTCATGTGGGTTATCAGAGTAGGACTGCTGATTTAGGATGAGGTTCATCTCCTATTTTGAATGACCTTACAGACCTCCGACTGTGAGAAGCTTTATGAGTACAAGTCCAGCAGAAATTCGGGTGCTTAATAATAGGGATGGGAATCTCTGCAGACCCCAAAATACTAAATTATTACAATGATTCAGCCACAAAATTATACTGCTGTGTTATTTACACATTTGTGATATGCTGAGTGTTGCAGTATGATGTGACTTTTGACTGCAAATTATTCCTGCAAAGATTTTTTTTTTTGCAGTTTATGTTATTTTTATCTCACTTCAGCTTTTTAATTGGCGCAAAACAGAATAGTGAAGTAGACGACTTACACTCAAAAATGTAAAATGCAATGTTAGAACTGAAACTATCTGACGTGTTACAGTTGCCGATTAAACTGTTTCAACGCATCAGTGCTGACCTGGAGAACGAAAGGAACAAACAGTCATTTTAATCACTATTTCTCATTTTATTATCATTCAGATTCTTAGTTAAGTTTGAGAAATAAAAATAGAAAAAAAAACATTATTTATTTATTTTTTTTAATTTTTTTCTCTTTTGCAAGAAATCTGAAAGTGCCATTTTTAGCCAAATGGGTAAAATTTCGGTGCATCCCTTGTAATTAAAAAATAAAATTTTGATACTTGTTCCTCCGTGTATCAGAACTATCTTTAATACCCAAAATACAGAGTTATACTGTATTGAGTTTTTCCTCCCACCACAACCTGATAGTCTATACACTGAACATTCATAATAGTGCATCCACACATTTCACTAGTGAAAACTGTAAACAATCTTTTATTATTCTCTGACCAAGAAAATGCATCTTTGCTAGTCCTCCTCGATCTTAGTGTGGCATGTGATACAACAGACCACTCTATCTTACCAGACAGACAAGAAAACCTTGTAGGAGTAACAGGAATAGCTCTTTCCTGGTTCAGATCTTACCTAACTGACCACTACCAGTTTGTAAATGTAAAGTATGGTGTTCCACAAGGCTCTGTTGTAGGACCTCTATTATTCACATTACATATGCCACCACTGGGTACCGTTATCAGTAAACACAGCATCAGTTTCCACTGCTACGCCGATGACCAGATGATAAACCAGCCAAACCAGATGATAAACTTCAACCTAATAAGATTGAGGACTGTGCAAAAGACACAAAAGACTGGATGTTGAGTAAGTTTCTCCTACTCAGCACAGAGAAAACAGAGGTTCCTCTTCTTGGCCCAAAAGCTGCTAGAAACAAACTGTCTAATTAATGCTTAAACTTAATAGTTTCTCAGTTACATCAGGTACATACATTATTTAATTTGATATCAAATAATTCTCCAATTTTACAATCATTTAGTGGCATATGTGAAGATTACTTTTGCTATATAGAAATTTATTATATATTTTTTTCCAGAAAGAAAAAGAAAAAAACAATTCTTTTTCCCTTAAGTAGTTGCTGATATGGTAAGGTTAGCATTATTACCATGGAGATAAAGTTAAGGCTGTTTTGTAACAGTATCACTGGAGTTGAAGTCAAAACAAGCTTCATTAACACCCATTTCATTAAGTATCATAGTACATACATCTGTGTATGTGTGTTAGCTGGGGCTTACCTCTATGTAAGAAGGGGATGTGGTCATCCTGTACTGGTCCAAGGTAAAAGTCTTTTCTGAAGTAGCTCTGCTCTGAGGGGTGAGATGACAGGAGGCCCTGACGGTGCAGTCTTGTCTCTGAGACAGCAGGAAACGCAGAGATAATAATCATTAAAAATGCACGAGAACAGTGAACTACAACAGGGCTGTACGTCTCTGGTCATGCAGGGCCACAGCACTGCAGACTTCCCTGCATTAGATTACACAAACTGTGCTTCAGCTTGAGGAAAAAGGAAGAGAGAGTGCTAACCTGCAGCAATAAGGCGGTCAAACCATCGGGCAGTGTTATCAAAATGACTGACGATCAGCGGCTCCGGACCTCCAAGTAAATCCAGCAAAACAAACAGATCCTATGAGACAGATGAGAAAGAGAGTGTCTTCAGAAGTTTTCCTGTAAAATTACAGTGCAGTGCAAAAGACACCATCTTCCACAATTTTTCAGTCAAAATGGCCTTTAAGAACAAGTACAACGACTAAATCTAACATTTTTGGTATTTAGTGTGTTCACCCTTCACCTTTATTACAGCCTCCACTCTTTTGGGGTGTCTTGCTTTGAGTTTTTCTAAGAAAAACTGAGAACTAAGATTTTCCACACCTCCAAAGTTCAGTCTTAAAGCTGGCTGAGTTTTCTGCTCCTCATGACCTGAATAATCCAAACACATTCAGTGATGTTGAGGTCTGGACTCTGGGGTGGTCAGTCCATTGTTCTTTGTTTGATGTGTCCGTCTCCTTTTCTCAGTGAGGTTCTTCTTGAACAGCTACACATCCTTTCAGACCCACAGCGCTGAGTCGTCTTCTCACAGTGGGAGGATGGACAGAAACACCTGTGGATGTTTTCAGATCTGAAGCAGCTTGATTTTCTCCTCTCTCTCAAAGATGAAAGCTTTAAGTGCTGCTTATCTGATGGGGGCAGTTTTGGGGGTCTACCAGGTTTTCCAGGTGGTTGTTAGGAGCCCTATTTTCTCCGTAGCTTTTGATTTTTTTTTTGAACTCCAGGTTTGGAAACTCCTGTTTTTCCACTTATTTTCCTTTGACTTTCTCATTCCTTATATAGTTAAACCATCTTATATCTAATTTCCTCAGAAATGTCTCCTGGAGAAAAAATAACTTGTACTTAATGATTGTTTTGACTGGAAACTGAATAAATGAAGGTGGTCACCAGTGCGTGCAGCAGAGTTGTGTGCGTAGAGCTCGGAGGATGGGGGGTGTGGGCCATCAGATCAGCCAGATGACGAGAGCCGTAGAGAGAGTCCGTTTCTGTCCACTCCTCAAATGCCTCCTCACCATCAAAAAACACAAGCTGCAGCGTCACCACTGACTTCTGCATAGAGAGAGAGAGAGAGAGAGAGAGAGAGAGAGAGAGAGAGAGAGAGAGAGAGAAATGCGTTTAGTTGATGGAGGCACAGAAAGAAAGACTGCAGCGTAATATGACCAGGCTCATATGGAAGGGTCTTATGATATATATGTATGTACTGTATGTGTACACTGTATATATCAGGCCATAATCCTTCTGAATAAGGACCCTTCCATTCCCTGTTCTGTCATCAGTTGCACTGTACTTTAACATACTGCAAATGTACATGATACATTGATCCACTGCTTGTACCTTTAGATTTGCATTGTGAGTACAGACCATTCTACTGAAGTAGTTCAAAATGTGGACCAAAAAAAACAAAAAAAACTATTAATTCAGAACTTAGATACTTACAATGGTTATGTTATGATCAATGTAAACGCTAGGAATTGATTAAGACAGTAATAAGCTAAATATATACAAAATCATCATTGGGAGTGTACTTTCTATTGGGAGATGTCTGTCTAAATCTCTAACCCCTAAATTTCAATTTGTGACGATAAATTTTTTTTTTTCCAATATTAAATCCAAAATTCAGTAGAATCATCCACACATACACTTTATAACTGTTCCATACTTACAATTTAACTGTACTCAGTATTCACTGTGCATTTTGTGTGTTATCTGTGTGAATTCGTGTATTCAGTGCATTTTGAAAAATAATTCTAAATCATACCAAAATAATCAAACCAAATCAAATCGTGGTGAAATTCATATTGTCATACAGTAAATTTGGTTGCCCCAGGTCAGATCACGTTTTGTTGATTTTATAACTAAAAATAAGTGAACAAATCCTCTGCAAAGAAGACACTTTTGCACACTTCTGTGGACGTCCAGAGAGGCCGTGAGGTAGTTATAATTTTCTGGTTTGTTATCTTGAAATAACGAGTTACTTATCTTGTTATCTTGTAAGATAACAATCCAGAAAATTACAGCAACAGCTCATGGCCTCTCCAGACTTCTGTACATTTCAATGTGCCGTCACTGTTAATTTGGTAAATGTGGGGGGCACAAAACACGGCCTGCGTAAAAGGTTTGGCAAAGTTTATATTTTATGTTTTTTCCAACGTTAAACTTAAAATGTCAGACTTAAATTCACTGTAGAGGATGTGAACTTATATTCATCTTGTGAAAACACACACACAAACACACACAAACACACACACACACACACACACACATACACACACAGTGTTTGAGTCAGCAAAATATGCTTGGATCTGCAGTGAGGGGCACACAGCCAACACGTCTTCCTCCATTTCACACTTTTCCCCTTTCTCCTTTCCCTCCTTCCATCTTAACCTGCCTCATCTTAGCAGGTACAGTTACTATTGTATGACATTCAAACAGAAACAAGAACCTCAAAATGGTCAAACTGGGAATCATTTTTCAACAATAGCGATGGATCAAATTCCTTCAATTCATCTTACTTTCCATAATCCAAATCATGTGGAATTTCGACAGAAATGTCACACATATCCAATATCACAGCTTTTTCCAGGTTAAATGTCATATTAAATAAATATTTATTGACACTGATTTTAATCCAGTATGAATCTGCAGTGTGTGTAGTGTTTATAGTCCTACGGTTATAACAGTGCACTGTAATGACCTGCAGATGTCTGGAGCTGCCTCAGTTGTAGTCTTGCTTTAATCCGTTTATCACTAACATAATAACAAAACCTGCTAACAGACAGTCATGCAGTGTGTTGGTATTGTTGTTGAGTTGGGCTGGGTTTCGAAATTCAACACTTTTGATACTTCTGTATCGACCCAATTACTACTGATTACAATTATTACTACTTAAAACATACATACATACATACATCCATCATCTAAACCGCTTATCCTTCTGGGTCGCGGTGGGGTGCTGTAATGCACAATGTAAAGGGCAACAGACATTTTCACATTATATCAAAAACTGAAAAACGTCAAAAATTGAGATACAAGGTTTTCGTCCGACAACCGCGATATGAAAAATTATTATTTAAATTGTCTGAGCATTTAGAGGTGTACAGACGCAAATAGGGCAAATATTTCAGATTTATAGAGAGTTAATAAGGATGAGTACTGTGGTGTGACCCCCATGTGGTTACATACATACATACATCATCTAAACCGCTTATCCTTCTGGGTCGTGGTGGGGTGCTGGAGCCTATCCCAGCTGTCATTGGGTGGAAGGCAGGATACACCCTGGACAGGTCGCCAGTCCATCGCAGGGCAGACAGACATACACAGTCACACACACCTAGGGGCAATTTTAGCATGTCCAATCAGCCTGACTGCATGTCTTTGGACTGTGGGAGGAAACCCACGCAGACACGGGGAGAACATGCAAACTCCACACAGAAATGACCCTGGTCGCCCCGCTGGGAATCGAACCCAGGCCCTTCTTGCTGTGAGGCGACAGCGCTACCCACTGCGCCACCGTGCCACCCTACTACTTAATAATTACCCTGAAATACCACAGAGTATTAAAAAAGAGTCAACACTTTTAGCAGCCTGTTGAACAAACAAAAGTAAAAACACAAAAATATATAGACACAATCACTGAGCACTTCATTAGGAACACCTGCACACCTACTCATTCATGCAATTATCTAATCAGCCAATCACATGGCAGCAGTGCAGGTCATAAAATCATGCAGATACGGGCCAGCAGCTTTAGGTAATGTTCACATCAACCATGAGATTGGGGAAAAAATGTGATCTCAGGGATTTTGACCGTGGCATGATTGTTGGTGCCAGACAGGCTGGTATGAGTATTTCTATAACTGCTGATTTCCTGGCATTTTCACAGACAACAGCCTCTAGAGTTACTCAGAACAGTGCAAAAAAGAAAAAACATCCAGTGAGCATCAGTTTTGTGAACCGAAGTGCCTCGTTCAAGAGAGAGGTCAGCGGAGAATGGCCAGACTGGTTCGAGCTGACAGAAAGGCAGCGGTAACTCAGATAACCACTCTGTACACTGTAATGAGCAGAAAAGCATCTCAGCATGCACAACACATCAAACCTTGAGGTGGATGGGCTACAACAGCAGAAGACAGGTTGGGTTCCACGTCTGTCAGCCAAGAATAGAAAGCTGAGGCTGCAGTGGGCACAGGCTCATCGAAACTGGACAGGTGAAGACTGGAAAAACACAGCCTGGTCTGCTGAATCTTGATTTCAGCTGAGGTATCCAGGCTGGTGGAGGTGGTGTAATGATGCGGGGAATGTTTTCTTGGCACACTTTGGGCCATTAACACCAATCAACCGCTTGAATGCCACAGCCTATTTGAGTATTGTTTCTGACCATGTTCATCCCTTCATGGCCAATTTACCATCTTCTAAGGGCTACTTCCAGCATGATAATGCACCATATCACAAAGTCATCTCAAACTGGTTTCAGTGGCCTTTCCAGTCACCGCATCTGAACCCAACAGAACACATTCGTAGCATGAAAGTGCACCTGAAAAATCTGCAGGAACTGCACGACAGCAGCAGGTCAACATGGATCAGACATGGATTCCAACATTTTGTGGCTGAAGAATTGAAGCTGTTTTGAGAGCAAAGGGAGGCCCTACCTAGTATTACTATAGTGTTCCTAATGAAGTGCTTGGTGTGCGTATATTTGTATGTATGTATATCAAAGACAAGGTATACTTCTTGTTATTGATATACAAAATTCAGTGGCACTTATGGCCTAATGCTGACATACACCTCCAGGCTGTGTCCCTTTCAGTCAGGGCTATCTGTGAGAATCTGGGGTAATTACACAGTATCCCACACACAACCTCCTCCAGTAAAGCTAACCCAGCACCAATAATGCTTATTATGCTCCTTTTGATGTTTAGTCTTGAAGCCTACCTGCTGTTTCAGAGTTTTCAGCTCGGTGTCCAGCGCAGTGGCCAGCTCCAGCAGCATGGCGCAGGGCACAGCTGAGTCACTGGCCCCAATAAACACACGCTGTGGGTGTTTGGGGTCTCGGGGGAATATTTTGGAGTCGTGGTGGCAGGCAAGCAGCAGCCTGCGGGGGGCAGATGGATCCAGCACTGCCAGCACGTTGCTGAAGGTCACTGAACCTTTGGGCGTGGATGACTGGAATGAGTCTTCTTCTACCAACCAGCCTGCAGAGAGCGACCTCAGCTGGGACAGGATGTGCTGAACACATGAAAAAAAGGATCACAGTTAGTCATTGCCAATTCCACTCATGTGCTTGGCCTCCCTCATCAAATGATGCTACCAAGCTGGGAGACTGAAGGCTAGCATGAGCTTCCTGAGTCATATTAGGCATCTTTTCAAACTGCTGCTAACGCAAAGTCACTGGAGTTCAAGGCACTTTGAGGAGAACACTAACTGCCAATTCTGTTACATCAGTTCACAGATGCCAGTGTTGATTAGATCTTGCTAATACGAGAGACGGAGGACCATCCTACCCACCCAGGGAGAGAAAGGAGAGAGAGAGAGAGGGAGAGAGAGACACACTAATTATGTTCTTTTGGACAATTATGTTCTTATTTTCTTTCAGATATTTTGTCTGTTAGATTTTAAAGCTACACTATGCAAGATTTGGGGATTTGGAGACCTCTCTGGTAGAAGTGTGCAACTGCATGCAATGTGAGTTGTGCTTTGGACCCCTTCCCAAAGCAGATGAATCTGATAATTGCAAATGTGCCAAAAGAGCATTCAGAGTTCAGTCAAAACTTGGTGAAGGATGTGTCGTCCGAGGATGGGCATGCACACCATGTCTTTGTGTGTGTTTTTCAATTTTAACAAAAACAAAAATCTCATATAGTGCAGCTTTAAGAGGAAATTTTTAAACTGATGAATTCAGTTAAAGTGTTACTCAAGGTTAATTTAAATGTGTTCATGTTTTTTTCTGCACAGGGTTACAGTGGGAAATATATCATAGATCATACACTGTTAGAAACAAAGGTTCTGTGCACAACTTTTCGTTCATCAAGGTACAAACAATGTAAATGTTCCCTCAAAGGTACAACAGTGGTTTTAAGGTCCGATTCTGTACCTTAAATAAGTTTTCCAGGTTTTTAATAACTGGATGTTTTAAAACAGAGACGAGACGGGGTGTGTGGAGTCAGTACAGCTTAGAAAATATAATTTCAGTGGATTATGGTACAGTTATGTTCCCTGACTAAAGGTACTGAGATGTACCCTTGAGGGTTCCACCCCAGTGACAAGAGGGGCACTGCCCCAGTGACAGTTTAGTACCTTTATGTCTGAGAGTGTACAAGATGAAAATAATAAGTGAAATTTTCAGCACTGAATACTACAGAATAATTAAACTGCCGCAAAGTCATTTAAAAGGTCTCTAGAAAAACACTACTGGGTTGGTTTCCCAGAGCCAGATTAGGTCTGGACTAATCAGGATTTTTATTGGTAAAACACCACTGACATTGTAATTTAGCCTAAGACCAGATGTGGGAATGTTGGGGTGTAGAGATTGCAATGCTGCACTGTTTTACATGTAGCATCACAGTGTAGAGACAGGGTTCCCCTCGAAAAGATCAGGCTGAACTCCAGAGTTCGACTTGGCACACACATGATATTTTATATTGCACACAAACAAGCGAAGAGTGAAAGAAAATACTGAATAAAACAAAAAATAAACGGGTTGCCATGCAACTAGTATGACTAGGACACAGCAGACTACTTCTAGTCACTCACGCAGTCTCATATACACATTTCTGACTAAAACATCATCCAGTTTGTGCTGGAGGCTGCAAGGCCACATGGACACATCCTACATTCCCTCCTTTCTGAATGAATGAATCAGCCCTCCTTTTAACACCATAGCCCCGCCCCACCTAGTTAGACCAGACCATTCCCCAGGGCTCGTGAGGGATTACACAAAACAAACAATAAAATAAACTATTTTAGTTAGACCAGACCATTATTTACACCAGACCATTCCCCAGGGCTCGTGAGGGGTTACACAAAACAAACAATAAAATAAACAACTATACATAAAACACATCACAAGAAGCTTCATTTTCCCGGTAAGTACATTCATTTATATTGGTTTACTCTGTTAACTCTTTCTGTCTTTCCCTACAGGTTCCCGGATCCCACCTTCCCCCTTCTACACACAGCTGTGGGCTCTACCGGCCAGTATAAGGGAAGCCCTGGAAGGCGCCCGCACTCCCCTGAGGATCAGGACGAAACAAGGACAAGATAAGCATTTCTTCTGTGCATATTATAATATCATAATCATCAATATTATAATAGCATAATATCACCTAGGCTGTAACCCGACAGTCACTGTCCTGTTTTTATGTCCCAATGTCCTTTCACAGACCTGGTGATGGGGCAGACTTACTGACCCCATCACACTAGACTTAACTAGACTGGCTGTAAATGCCAATTCTGTGAGCAGCGCTATTTCATGGTATGCTGGTCTGCACTTAAAGATGTAGTGACATGTGCTACGTCTATTACTCGGTATATCTGGGTCTTACCTGTCGCACGGTTTGGCTGCCAGCAGTGCCGGGTACTCTCTCTATCAGCATGGGCCTCAGGTAAGTCCCCCACAGACGAGATCCATCCACCTGAGCAGCGAGCTTACGTACCTGTGCCAGAGAGCATTTCCTGGGCTTGTGGGAAAACTGTACGAGAGAGAGAGAGAGAGGGAGAGAGAGAGAGAGAGAGAGAAAGAGAGAAAGAGAAATAGAAATAGAAAGAGAGAGAGTGAGAGAGAGAGAGAAAAAGAGAAATAGAAATAGAAAGAGAGAGAGAGAGAGAGAGAGAGAGAGAGAGAGGACAAGCAGAGTTGTTCAAATGAGCAATTAGCTTCTTTTAGCTTTCAGTCAACAAGTCTTGGCTATTTTAGATGGAATATTTAAAAGCACACACAATGCAGTTCAATGTCTTTAAAGGGGAATTCCACCGATTTTTCAAAATGTCTGCATAATTCAGTCGCTGAGATGTAAAGAAGCTCATTCAGAGAGTAGTTTGATGTGAAATGGTTCACTGGAAAGAAACATACATTGATAGGAACCAGGGGTCACAATGTCTACAACACAAATACAGCCGTTCTATTTAGTAGCCAAAATGACCAGTGAACCTACACGAGTCGCCTGAGCTTTTATATGTATAGGCATTAAATGCTTTAGATGTCTTGGCAAGTTTCTCTAGAACAGGGGTGCGCAACTCCAGTCCAGCACAGTTTTGTAGTTGCCCTAGAAAAACACACCAAGCCTGGCGATTAACAGATGAGCTGAGTCAGGTGTGTGTGTGGGAAGGAAAGCTGCCAAACTGTGCTAGACATCGGGCCTCCAGGACTGCAGCTGTAAACTCCTGCTCTAGAGCACAGCGCTCAGACCACTCTGAGTGATTCTGTCATAACGACTGAATTATGCAGTAGTTTTGAAAAATCAGTGGAGTTTCACTATAAAACTATTTTAATGGATTTGTTCTTTTTCTGAATATTTCCAAATGCGAATAATTTGACTTCTGCTCAAGTATTTATGAGGTAAGCAACACACTTTTTCCTCAGTTACATTTCAGTCCTTCACACTGAGTTCCTAAATCTTTTTTTGTGTTTTGTGAGCTCAGATCATGCCTTCAACATGGTGGTGGTAGTATGAGGGAAGACTGATTGAGGGAGGAGGAGAACTCTGAGAAGTTGGGCTGGAGTTCTGGGCAGATTCTGACTGTGCGAACCCTTCATCACAGGAACGGAAGGTGAGGATGTGAATTTATAGGGTGTTAGACTGGAAGAAGGAGGGGTTTCAGGCATGGTCCTCCCCCAGACTTCAGTTATAACACAACTACATTTAATTTCATACTGTTCTTTCGGCTCAGCTCCTGGACTGCTTTGCTATTGCTGTTCCAAAAGGATCCCGTGGATGGATTCACAGGCAGGAAGAGAAACTGAAGTTCTAAGCTGACAGATGCTGGATGCACTAAGAAGTTCTGCTGCAGTTCTCTAGGGAACTTGGTATGTGAGGTTTTTTGGGACATCATATACTCTTAAAAAAAGAAGGCTCTTTAGTAAGGAAAATGGTTCGATACAGAACCATAAACCCTTTAAAGAAGGGATGATTTAAGGGTTCTTCCCATCATGAAATGGTTCTTTAGATTGATTTCCATCTGCATGAATGTCCTATAGACAGTTCTATATAGAACCTTTTTGAAAAGGGTTCTATATAGCACACAAAAAAGTTATTCTATGGTTACAAGCTTGACATCATAAACCTTTTGGGTACTACAGAAAACAATTTTCAAAAAGGTTCTACAAAGAACCATCTATAGCACATTCTCCATCAATCTGTAGAACTCTTTCATGATATAAAGAACCCATAAATCATGCCAATGGTTCTTTGAGTGATCATGGTTCTGTAAAGAACTGTTTTCTTCATTAAAGAACCCTTGAAGAACCATCTTTTTTAAGAGTGTACTTCTACTCAGGTTGTTTTTTGGTAGGTACATTATAAAAAAGATGGTTCTTTGTGGGTTCTTTAGTAAAGGAAATGGTTCTATTTAGAAACATGACTTCCATATACCACCATTTCATGCTTAAATGTTTCTTAGCATGGGAAAATTGTTTTTCAGATTGATGGAGAATGTATTGTATGTGGTTCTATATAGAACCTTTTTGAAAAATGGTTCTATATAGCACCAAAAAGGGTTCTTCTATTGTTACAAGCTTGATTTCATAACAATAGCAAACCCTTGTGGACGCTATATAAAACCATCTATAGCACATTCTCCATCAATCCGTAGAACGCTTTCATGACATAAAGAACCCTTAAATCATGCAAAGGGTTCTTTGAGTGTTCATGGTTCTGTACAGAACCATTTTCCTTATTAAGGATCCCTTGAAGAACCATCTTTTATAAGAGTGTAAATCTACCCAGGTTGTTTTTTGGCAGGTACATTATAAAAAAGATGGTTCTTTTTGGGTTCTTCAGTAAAGGCAACAGTTCTATTTAGAAGTAGGAGTTCTATACAGAACCATTTCATGCTTAAATGTTTCTTTGCATGGTGAAATTGTTCTTCAGACTGATGGAGAATGTACTGTATATGGTTCTATACAGAAGCTTTCTGAAAAAGGGTTCTTCTATTGTTACAAGCTTGACATCATAACAATAGCAGAACCCATGCTGGTGCTATATAGAACTACATACAACACATTTTCCATCAATCTAAAGAACGATTTCACCATGAAACGAACCACTTAATCATGGAATGGTTCTATATAGAACTTACTGTTCACTTTACTAAACAACCCTTGAAGAACCACCTTTTTAAAGAGTGTAGGTGAAGAGAAACTGAAGTTCCTAACCTGATAGATGCTTAGACGTTCTACTGCAGTTCTATATGGAACTTGGTACCTGAGGTGTTTTTGGACCTCATACTTCTATTCAGGGTGGTTTTTGGAATGTACTTTTACTTCTGCTTGACTCAACATCTCATTAATGGGCAATGCCACCAGTTTTTCAAAATTTCTGCATCATTCAGTCGTTGATAGTTGAAGTCATTCAGAGTGGTCTGATGTGATGTACTTCACAGTGGAGAAACGTAATGACTCATATTTCTTCACAGTCTCAGACATCAGGCAATGTTTGTAATCATTTTGTATTACAGCTTTATGCGAGGCTGCTTTTAGACGTATTAAACCCTTCGGAGGCATTAAATGCTTCAGACGTCTGGTTCCCATCACCAACATTATACACAATTCTGTCTTTGTGGGTTTCTCTACAATCAAGAATTTCACACCAAACTTACTCTGAATGACTTTGCTTGCATCTTACCCACTTAATTATGCAGAAATTCTGAAAAATGGGTGGAATTCCCCTTTAAAGTAACAGTACATTAACTGTGTGGTTTTAAGCTACTGTACATAACAATCTCTGGAGGTGAGACCACAAGCACGAGCGCACACACAGGGTCTTACCTTGTCCTTCAGCAGATCTGTGGTTTGTTTTGGGCTGTTGGTGCTTGTCTCGGTGGACAGGTAGAGTCCGAGCATCAGCGCCACCGACAGCGCGCAGCACAGGCACCAGAACAGCGCGCGACGTGAGCCGGTTCTGACCGGACAACAGGACACTCCGTTGCTCGGGACGGATCTGTGCCTTCGGCTGCTTTTCGACATATTCAGACCCAAAGGAGCCGTTCAGAAACGAGCGTGGAGGGGCACTGCGGAGAGCCAGCAGGGGGCGCAGCGGAGGAGCGAACAGAGGACACGTCAGATATAACCAACGATGGAAGGTTCGATTCAATTTGCCGAACCGATTCCTTTGATGAACTGCCCGTTTCGAGTCAACCAATTTATTAAAGATTCATTAGTGAAAATGTTCGACAACGATTACAATGTGGCATTGATTTTAATATTTCAAATTTAGACAAAATATGCAGCAAACTTTACGTAGATGCTAAAACACACAATTCGACTCAGTTAGACTTGTGAATCGGTTCCCACGATTCGTTCAACAGAACCGATTCTTTCGTCGCCAGTAGTAACGGCTACTGGCGGCTAGCGGAGCTAAGGTAACTTCTCTGAGAAGTTTGGACCCTTTAAAGCATTTCTATCCGTATTTTTTATGTTTTCAGTTTAGTTAATCCTAAAATATTGCTATTTCACTTGTTTTTTTAAGATCACGGCCACTATGGGATTAGAATATGAGTCAAAAAGTGGAAAAAAGATCAACGTTTCTTCTAAATTCGCATCAGCGAGTCAGTCAGCAGCTACGTTAGCTAACCTAATGATGCCACGAAGTATCGGATGTTTTTACTATTCACATTTTCATTGTGGGATGTTTAACTCACTAACTCAGCTAACCAACACACAGACGTGCGAAATGATCTCTAAAGGAACAGAGGAATCGAGGTTCTCTAGCGAAAGGAACCCAAAAAGCTCTCTCTGAATGGACCATGGCTCAGAAGACGGGACACCAGTGGAGAAAAACGGATTCAATGCTTAAAACTAAACTCGAGGTGTTAAATGTTATCAGTTGTCGGTTATCGGTTGGTTAAATCTGTACCACCTTTACATACAATCTGTTACACCTTTACATTAACATTGTAAACAGAGCTGAAGGACAGTAAGTGCTGCTGATGTTGTATCTACACGGTGCAGCTGTGCAGTAAAACACCCTGAACAGACTGACTGACTCAGTGAGTCCATAACACTACAGCGCACACAGCCCACACGACAGGGGCGCTTCAGGCTTCCTTTTAAGGATTCATAATGAGAAGGTTTGAGTTTTAAAGCTCAGTTCTGTGTACGCACTCTCTCCTCTTCCACCTCATACTGCTACTGGGTATATAAAGGATATATAAATCTATATATCTCCAGTTTTATATTCATCTCTCTCTCTCCCAGCTCCATTTGTAGCGCTGCAGTTCCGCATTCAGAGTCCCACGTGACTGATTTACAGACGCTCTTAAAGGAGCAGAGCAGCCTGATTTGTTTATGGGGCCAAAAGCATGTAATGATTTTAATCTCGAAGAAAAACTTAAAAAACATTATAGAACCATATTCTTTATAACACTCAAAAGAATAATATATATATATATATATATATATATATATATATATATATATATACGTGTGTTCATAACGTAGATATTTAAGAATTTTACATTATAGACTTGACACAAAGAAACTACCTGATATCTAAAATAATGTTTATATATATATATATATATATATATATATATATATATATATATATATATATATATATATATCCTTGTGATGAGATAGAGAGAGAATGTTGTATTTATTTTAGGCCTTGCTTCAATAACATAGGTGAAAATTAGGACATATTAAGTTATGTCCTGCTAAACATCTTACCCCTGCAAAGGCCAGGCTTTCTCCATTAACTAACTGGTCATTTACACCAATAAGGCTTAACATTATGACCACCTACTTGTTTCTACGCTCATTGTCCATTTTATCAGCTCCACTTACTATATAGGTGCACTTTGTAGTTCTACAGTTACAGACTGTAGTCCATCTGTTTCTCTGCATACTTTGTTATCCCCCTTTTACCCTGTTCTTCAGTGGTCAGGACCAGGTACTATTTGGGTGGTGGATCATTCTCAGCACTGCAGTAACACTGACATGGTGGTGGTGTATTAGTGTGTGTTGTGCTGGTCTGAGTGGATCAGACACAGCAGTGCTGCTGGAGTTTTTAAACACTGTGTCCACTCACTGTCCACTCTATTAGACACTCCTACCTTGTCAGTCCACCCTGTAGATGTAAAGTCAGAGACGATAGCTCATCTGCTGCTGCACAGTTTGTGTTGGTCATCCTCTAGTCCTTCATCAGTGGTCACAGGACGCTGCCCACAGGACACTGTTGGCTGGATGTTTTTGGTTGGTGGACTATTCTCAGTCCAGTGACACTGAGGTGTTTAAAAACTCCAGCAGCACTGCTGTGTCTGATCCACTCAGACCAGCGCAACACACACTAACACACCACCACCACCATGTCAGTGTTACTGCTGAGCATGATCCACCACCCAAATAGTACCTGCTCTGTGAGGGTCCATGTGGGCCTCTATGTATGTATATATATATATATATATATATATATATATATATATATATATATATATATATAAGCTCCATAAAGACATGGTTTGGCGAGTTTAGTGTGGAGAAACTCCACTGACCTCCACAGAGCCCTGACCTCAACCTCAGTGAACTAGAATGTTGCTTGCAAGCCAGGCTTTCTCGTCCAACATCAGGGTCTGACCGCACAAATGCTTTTTTGACTGAATGGGCATGAAATCCCTCAGACACACTCCAAAATCTTGTAGAAAGCTTCCCAGAATATGTATCTGCAAAAGGGGGACCAACTCCATAGTAATGCCCATGGTTTTCGAATGTCCAGCAAGCTCATACAGGTGTCATGGTCAGGGGTCCACATACTTTAGGTCATATAGTGTATCTCCCAGTTCTCTAAAGATAAATGATCTGAGGACAAACGAGTCATCCCCATTACAGTCATTATACACACACACGGCAAAATAAGTTATTCTGAAATATTTTAATATATTTTTTTTATAAAATAAAGAAAACATAATTTACACTTCTTAAATGTACACTCATTGATATAAGGGTCTCATGAGAAACTGAAAGATTGATCAGTTGTCAGATTTTATGATGCATTGCACTACTGCTTCATGCACAAACATTTAAAAAAAAAGTAAAAAATAAAATCAGCTTTGTACAAAAGAGCAGAATCATACAGCTGATGTAATAACGACAGAAAAAGATCAACTAAAATTTAAAAATGTACTTTTTCACTGAATGTTTTTTCAAAAAAGAACAAAGAAAAAGAAAAGAAAAATAAATAATCAAACTTTTACACATAAAACACAGCAAGTTTTACAGTCGGACTATAGTTTTATGATTTATTCATGTGCACCACAGATTCACATGTATTATCACTCATATTTAGATTAAGAGATAAAATAAGATCAAACGTAATCGTTTAAAGACACCTCCACCCTTCTAACAGACTAAAAATAATTAAGACAGCTGATGGTGCATATATTCATATATTACCACAGAAGCACACAAAGCTTTAAACGAGGCCGCGATTGTGTGTGTGTGTGTGTGTGTGTGTGTGTGTGGGGAAGCTCTAGTTTAAGTGACTGACACACATATTGTGGGCATAGTTCACAATGAGGAACGGATGATGATGGTGTTTAGAGAGGAAGAAGCAGGCTGACCAGGATGTATGTGTATATATATATATATATATATATATATATATATATATATATATATATATACAGTACTGTGCAGAAAGATCACCCTTCATTTATTTAATTTCCAGTAAAAATGGCCATGAAGCACAAGTTATTCATTTTTTGAGAGACATTTCTGAGGAAATTAGATATAAAAGTAATCCACTTGCATCACGAAGGGGAACGTCAAAGGAAAATAAGTATAAAAATAGAAGTGTCTAAGACTGGACCTCAAAAAATTATTAAACACTACAGAGGAAATGCGACTCCTAACAACCACCTGGAAGACCTGGTAGACACCAAAACTGCCCCCATCAGATAAACAGCACTTAAAGCTTTCATCTTTGAGAGAGAGGAGAAAATCAAGCTGCTTCAGATCTGAAAACATCCACAGGTGTTTCTGTCCATCCTTCCACTGTGAGAAGACGACTCAGCGCTATGGGTCGTGTAACTGTCACAAAACTGTCACTGAAAAATGTTGCAAATCTGTAAAAAGATCTGCTGATGTTCTTAAAACAAATCATGAGAAGCAGAAAAAACAACAAACTTCTAAGAGGTGTGGAAAAATAGCCCTGCAGGTTTCTTTGGAAAACTAAAAGTGAGTCTCCTGAAAAGAATGGAAGTTGTAATAAAGGTAAAGAGTGGAAACACTAAATACTAAAAATATGATATTATATTTAGTTGTTGAGGCCTCGGTCAAATTTTCTGCTAAATGATCTCTACTTTTCCCCTAATGCTGACAAATTATTAACTTGTATTTAATAGACATTTTGACTGGAAATTAAATATGAAGGGTGATCTGTGACTTTCGCAAAGTACTGTATATGTACACTATATGTAAAATAATAACAATAATAATAAAAATAATAAATAAAAGATTCAAGAAAGAACCTTTTTCCCCCAAATAAACTTTTTAGTGGATGGCTCTTTAAAATATTATAATTGTATATGAGATAACTTTAATGAACACTCATCTAACGTAAAGATTATATACATATATATTTCGCTGCTGCTGGAACAAAACCTCGCATCTAGATTTTTGTTGTTGTTCAGTTTTTGTCATAATCTGAAAATGCCTGTTGCTCTTTACATTGTGTGTTAATTTCATGATGAAGGGACCAAAAGAAATGGCCCAAAATTACTTAGACAAAAGGTCTGGCTCCATTGACTTACATTAAAAGTTAAGGTAGCTTTTTTCCTTCTCCTGCAAAGTTACCGTTTTGGAGATACGAGGTTTTGTTCCGACAACAGTGATACATATGTTTTCCGCAGAGTTGTACATCCAACCATTTAGGAACATTTATTGTTCTATATTTTTAATATGTGGTGGAAAATATATAACAGACATGAGCATACGCAGTCGCAGTCGAAACCTGTGTTAAGGAAAACTACAAGTATGAACAAAAAGGCGTGTTGTCTTCTCTTTTTTTAAATCACTGGTTACCTTTCCCTCTCCAGTATAAAAGCTAACGGTCCTACCATGTTAACTAGGAGGGTATCATCTCATACTAGCTTAGCAAAGTTACTTTGAGAGTACAAAACGTATGCCGTCCTCTGGCCGACAGATAAATAAATAGAATAAATAGTTCAGGCCATTGAGAGGGCTCACTGTGGGTCCTGAGAGATGAGATGTTTTCCAGTTAGACCAGATTAAAGGGACAGTCAGGGTTGATATGGATCGTTCACTTCGCTCTCTGGCCGACACAACTGTAAGAGCATTGGATTACATCAAACCTATACTGAGTTGCCAGTTCATTAGAAACAACTACTTTGTAGCTACACTGGCCATTTTATCAGAAACACCATATAGGTGCACTTTTAAGGATTTATCAGCACCCCTATATCCCCTATACCCCCTCCATCAATTAAAAAAAGACCACCATATACGTCTCAGTGTCACTACTACTGGATTGAGAATAGTGTGCTAACCAAATATATTCAGCCAACAGATGTCTAATGCAAACTGTCTATCAACAGATACATACAGCAGTGGTCACCAACTGTTGTCCTGCCACACCTGCTCTGGATAATTAGCATCTTCAGAGGTCCCTGATTGGCTGATCAGATGCAGGTGGGTTTGTTAGATGCAGATTGGAACTAAACTCTGCAGGAAAGTAGGGCTATGTCCAAAACTGCAGACTACCACTCTAAATAGTATGTCAAAAATAGTACACCACCAATCTTAGATCTCCAGAAGGAGTGTTGGTGACCACTGGAGTACAGTCTCTAAGTGTACACCAGCAAGGTGGAGCTACAAGGCAGGGGTGTCTAATGAAGTGGCCAGTTAGCGTATTAAGTTACTGCAACTACTGTAATACTAAAAACAAGGAGAGGCCTCTAGACCTCATGACTCGCAACGGCTGACTGTAATCTTAGTGCTGGGGATTTAAAAAAAAGCCTTTTTAATTCATAACCTAGTCTGTAGATGATCTTCCTGTCTGCCCTGTTTTCCCCCAAAACAGCCGTTTCTGCCAACAGTCGTGTCACCTGATAAACCTAAACCGAGAGGTAAATAGAAAAATAGATTCTGTATGGCACGCACCCTCCCCAACGAGAGGGGGCGCTAGAGTCAATGTGTCTGTTGTTGCATACAGATATACAGTGTCTAGATTTAACAGAACAGCCACCCTCTGTTTCAGTACCGTTTCTAACTTGCCCTCACCAGTTTTGCCTCACCAGTTGCCGAGGCCCACTTGGCCAGGCTAGCCTCAGCGAGCTAATTAGCTAACTAAGCAAAGTTTGTAATGTTTAAGACGTCTGAGAAAAACGCTGTGAATAAGTAGTGAATAACTGATTTGTCTGACTTAAGCCTTGGGATTCAGAGTGAAAACTGTGGGTATTATCCTGCTTTTTTGGTGGTTAGCTGTGTAGTTTTTAGCTGGCTAACTAGCAATTAGCAGGATAAGGTAACAAAGTTAAACCAGCAGTCGTGTACAAATGGAGCCGTTTGGAGTATATTGAATTTTATAGATTAAAAATATGACATTTTAATTCTCTGGCTTGTAAACATCTTTATTTACTAGCCAGAGCAGGGATTAGAATGGAAACCATGGGGGGACCACTGTCCTTCTTTAGTTAGCTGTGTAGCTCTTACCCTGATAGCAAGAGGATAGTGTGCCACTGGTGGTCCACTGGCATGTTGCTCAGTGTTTTCTGGGCAGCCCACCAATGTTTAAGCAGAGTATTAGACAAAATTCCACTTATCACTGCTCATTTTCCACTCACAGTCCAATTTACTTATTTTTCTTCCTTCTTTTCTTTAGTCATACTTTGTAAAATAGTTTAGTAAATAATTTTAATCGAGCTCAGCAACATTTTCTATAAAATCATTTTACATTAATTCTAGTAATTTTTTTCTTTGTTGTTTGTAATATTTGTATTAGTTTATTTTCAAAAATAAAAGTCTCTGAGCATTTAAAATCTGTTTAAGGAGATAAAAAAATAGTTCAACCTCATATGCAGGACAGTAATCTGGGTGGTCCGAGGGTGGTCCAGCAGTGGTAAGCAGCCAGAGTGTAAGTGTAGACCTTATCAAGACAGCAGACCGATATACTCTTGCCATCTGGGTAGTCTGCTAACTTAGCAGAATAAAGTAATAGTTACAAAAGTCTGTCCCACTTTATATTAAGTGTCTCTAATAACTGTGTAGTTACACATGAATACCATATGCAACAACACTGTAACTACTGATGATTTAGTCAATGTTACAGATAGATTAAAGAAGTACAGCCTATATAATTACACATGTATATCAACTTCAGTTTTGCTTAAGGTAATTACACAATGTATCTTCCACAAGTGTTTCATTGCCCCCAAAGCAATGTCTATATTACCACCCCATTATTACACTGTACCTACAGAATAACTACACAGGAACTGTCCACTTATTTTAAAGTGTAACTTTAACACTACACTACAAGAAAGTTCCTGTGTAGAAGATACACATGTGTAATTACATAAGTTGTACTTCTGCAATCTATCTGTAACAGTGACCAAATCATTAGTAGTTACATTGTTGTTGCATATGTTATTCACATGTAACCACACAGTTATTAGAGACACAATATAAAGCGGGACCCAAAAGTCTGCTACATAAAGGCCAGTTTAAACTGAGTAAATCAAATGGTCTAGTTTTAAAATATAAAGTATTTTATTGCTCTGACTTGAAAACAGCTGTGTGTCCATTTTTTCTAGTTTTAAAGGAAAACCGCTTTAGATCGCAGTGATTTCTGGGCAACTTCTGCTGCTTAACTCTATATTTATGTTGACTCATCATCTACCAAACTTCACTTGAGCTAATATAGTAACACAGCAGCCCCTATGGTGGCTTTGGCTTTTTTAACAAGGGCATGTTAGAAACATTATTGAAACGTCGGGCCAGAGTTTATACACAGTGCTATGCCAAAACATACTGAGAGGGAAAATGCTATTTCCTGTTCTGCGGCCCGGTCACTTCAGTATCAGAAAATGACCGCGCACATGCGTACACACACTCACGCTAACACACATTCACACGAATAGTCGAAAAACTTGAGATCAGCATCACAGTTATAGGAGCAGTTGCTATAATTGGTCGTGTCTTTTACAGTAAACTGTTCGACAGTAGTGGCGGCGTCACTTTGAGTAGAGATGGATGACGATATTTCTGTGCAATAGTGTTGTTTTACTCTGTCTGCAGGAGGCTAAAATCACATGTATTCGTGAGTTCTAGTCACTGAAATATGTACATGGGTGCAGATGGAGATACTGGTATTAACAACAGTCCAAAGTACTGACAGAACAAAGAATCTGTCCGTAATCATTAACTACAGCACATTATTTAAGGATTTAGCAATTAGGTAGACAACAGCACTGCCAAAGTAGGATCTGCAGTACATTACGATGTATTAGCTGAGATATGACCATAAGTACGTGCTCTCTGAGCAATCAATGTGTTAAAAAAACATTAAATTACAACCTTAGCTTCGAGTATTCCATGTACCTTCACCGATTATTGTCATATTTTTTACTTAAATCAGCATATATATATATATATATATTTAATCTATGAGTCAGTCCAAAAGAATTGTACCTAACTTCAAAACTACAGTACCATGTTTTATTTTTTTCCCCTTGGCACGCTCCACAGTGCTGCATGCTGGGAAATGTAGTCTCAAGACAGGACCCAGTCCAAATCTCTCACTCTTTTTGGCTGTAGAGCTGAATGTACAGTAATAGGCCTCTCTGAATGCAAATGTCTCTCAGTTCGACTGGCTCAAGTTGGGTGTCCTCTGAGCGTTTTTAAGACGAGTCCGTTACAAAAATAGGCTAACGCAACAGCGGGGAAAAAAGCTCCGTAGGGAATGTGTTCATGGTGCTCCTGTCAGCAAGGGATTTGCTTTTTTTCATACGGGTCATTTTGGGAAAAAAAACAAAACAAAAACAAACTAACAAAAATCCAATGTCCACTTTTTTGTTTTACCTTTTCCAGTTAAAGATCTCAAGCCCTAGTTTGTCCTTCTCGCTGCTTTCCTTCCTTCTCCTTTATTCCTTACACTCTCCATTGCTCAGTCATGTTTGGTCGTGGAGAGTGACGAGATGAAGGTCAGTGTGGGTTCTTTTTTCTGAGCAGCTGGTACAAAAATATACCACAGTAGCAGAGGGACAGGCACAGGATTAAAACGCGGGCGTCCTCCATTAGCCCCGCCCCCAGTCACCGAGCTTTCTCTCCTCATAGTGAGAGAGGGATAGAGGTCACTTTCTGTCTGGGTTGGAGGAGAGCAGCTGGCTGAACTTGCGGAGCTGCTCGCTGGCGGAGAGGGACTCCTCCTGCAGGCGCTGATTATTCTCCCTCAGGTGAGCCATCTCAGCCAAAAGAGCCACCTTGTCCTGCTTCTCCTGAGAAGGGCAGGGCAGAAAGGAGGTTACACTCGAATAAGCCACATGTCTGGAATAAAACAATGAACTGCAGAGATTGTGGCAACACAAGGAGCTGATATTATGTCTGACAAAAGTGGATCTATATATCACTGCTGTTGGAAGGAAACCTCATCTCCATTTTTGACGTTTTTCAGTTTGACATAATATGGAAATACCTGTTGTCCTTTACATTGTTTGTAAATTTCATGATGAATGAACTAAAATAAATGACCGAAAATCACCCTGAAAGAAGTCTGGTTCCCCTGACTTACATTAAAAGTAAAGTAGGTTTTTTCCTTCTCCTGTAAAGTTACCATTTTGAAGATATGAGCTTTTTTTCCGACAACAGCGATATGCAAATATTTCAAACATAAACATAACAAATCTGTACAGTGTTAAGAACCATAGGTTAACTGGTAGTGTATTAAATCACATACTCCTAACTAAGTGCTGCACAATGCAACGATTTTGTTGCACGTGCTAGAAGAATAAGTCCTGGGTGAATACAAAAAAGATCAGCCGCCGTAAGAACTTTATGTGTAGTGTATGTATATTCATTAAAATATTATATATATATATATATATATATATATATATATATATATATATATATATATATATATCCCATCTTTAGGGTCAAGTAGCAAAGTTGGAATAGAAGTGAATACAGTGAGACTAAAGCTTATTAAGCCAGTGTGAGGAGGACTGTTGAGTGCTCACCTTCTCCAGGTCATTATTGAGCTGCTTCAACATCACCTCCAGATGATACAGCCGACCAGACAAGTCACCGGGAAGCTCATCACTAACAAACACACACACACACACACACACACACACACCCAAATATAGAGCATTGTATCTCTCCTTTTGAAAGAATTCACAATTTTGCATTTTGTTGTCTTTGTCTATCAGTGTGCTCTCACTACAATTCCCAGAATGCATTACACAAATATGGGACCCTCCTATAATGAAAACCCCTGACTTCCAGTGTAGCCACTGATGTAGTGTCTAATAAAAACAGATGTGATATTGGCCTAACTAGCAATAACATTACCTATTGACAGTCACTAGCTACTGGGGGAGATGTGGGGGGGGATCAAACAGCCCACCCTCAAGTAATTGTAGTTTTTCAAACCTTCAAGATATGTCGTCAAAAGGGAGTTTCATCTTTAAACTGGAAAATCTCGTTCTAGTGACCGTTTACAGAATATGAAGCTTATATTTTTCATTTTTTGGCCAGAGTGACCCCCCAACCAACAATCCAGGTCCAATCATTATTTAGGCAGCTCATATAAAGACTGTGTGACAGGACTGTGATTACCTGCTGAAGGTGGGCGTGGTGCGAGGTGTTTGGGGAGTGTGGAAGTGAACTGGGCTTATAACAGGTCTCAGCTCAGCTCCTCCAACATGAGGCTCAGACAGCGAAAAGAGAGACACCGCTCTTTGTACTGTTAACACACACAAAACATATAAACAAAGGTTAAACAAAACACAAAAACACTAAAATATGTCTCATGTTCTAGCATCCCTAAGAATGATGCCTTAATGGGTGCCATGTACCTAAACTCGGGGCCTCTGTCTGGACTTGAGGCTCAGGGTCAGAGGTCAGCTGGGGCCCAAAACACCCTTCTGTGGTTGTGGAGGACAGAGCACAGATGAGTCTGTGTGTGCATGTGTGTGTTTTGTACATTTTCACATAGCCAAACGTTGTAGGAAAACCTGAGGCTAAGATTATAGTCATGGTTTATATATATATATATATATATATATATATATATATATATATATATATACACACATACATATAGTCGCTATCCAAAGAAAACCATGTATCTCCATTTTTGTCGATTTTTATTTTTCTACATCTTTTCAACACACCAGCTCTCCTTTATGTTGCGTGGAAATTTCATAATGATTGGACAAATAGAACTGCTTCAAAATCACTTGGAATAAAACCTCTTTACATTAACTCACATTAAAAGGTAAGAGTGTTTTTTTCCTTCTCCTGTAAACTATTTTGGAGATACTTGTTTTCTTTAGACCATACGTATACCTACATATGTGTAAAACACACAAGGCACGTTATTATTAGATATTGTTTCCTACAAGTACAGTACTAAAATCAGTACTTAAAATCAAAACAAACCAAAAAAAAACCAAGCTAAAAAGTGTCTTTTTGGAAAAAAAACACATTTATACTTAGAATAAATGCAAACAAAAATAAAAGCATTTCTCTGCAATGCTCCCAGCCATCACTCAGATTTGCCCAGATCTGCCACTAGCCTAGCACACCTGAATTTAATGTTTAAGTATTGTTTGAGCCAAAACAGATTTTGGATGATATCAACAAAGAATACTGGCTGCTTTGGGGAGTGATTTGGAAATGGTTAAATTAACATAAATCATGTAAATGATGTAAACACTTACTGTACCTATATATATATATATATATATATATATATATATATATATATATATATATATATATATATATATATATATATATACACACACACACAAACACTACTTACTGTAGTAATACTATTTGTATTTTCCCTATATTAGTGTTTTACTAAAGCTAACAAACACTGCTCAGATTAATAATGTTTTATTAATCTAATAACGAATTTTATCAGGTGCCTGAAACTTTTGCACAGTACTGTATATGTAATACTTGTGGGACATACGTATGACCCCATGTCTTGACTTTGTAGAAAATCAAGCTGTGTGTGTGTGTGTGTGTGTCTGTGTTCTGTCTGTATGTTTACTCTGTGGTTTCCTGAAATCACTCTCCCATTGGTGTCAGGTAACAAAGTAGACAAGCATGCTTTTGTAACACATCATATTTCACTACATAATTCACAACTAAATCATAGTATTTATTCAATAATACAAAGCAGTAACCAGGTCATAAGCCTTAATATTAATAACTCAATAATAAGCCTAGAGTTTAAGGAGGTAAGCAGAAACCTCAAAGAAAAAAAAGCAAAACAAAATCAAAAACAAAAGGTAAATCTCTCTTTCTCACTACTGCACTGACCCTCATAGGCTTTGGCAGCGTTGACCAGGCTGGACCACTCCAGGCCGGCCGCGGTGTCTGGCAGGGGCATTAGGCCAGGGTCCAGTCTCCGTAGTGGGGGCACCTTATCCCTCACCTCCGTCAGAGAGAGCTCCGATGCAGACAACGGCACTGACACACAGACAAAACAGCAGAGAGTTATTAATGTGTCATCTTTCTCAATAGCTTATGTAGTTTCTTACACTGTATGACAGGTTGTCTATTTTAGTGATAACAGTGTGTCATACAGTGTCAGAAACCACATAAGTAAGGCTATAAAAGATTACTTAACAACTCCACACAGTTCACCTGTGCAGTTTGCACTCTGCTTCACACTGGCTTGACTGGCTTCAGACACTGGCTTCAGGCTAACTGAATACATTTGGGGTAAATTAGATTTTTCAGCAAACTATTTTCCAGCCTCTCTTTATCCCTTAGAACTAAACAGGCTGTTATTGTTACTGTGCCTTTAAGACCGACATATGTAAATGAGCTCTGTTCTGATTGGCTGCGCTGTATTGCGCTTCATTCCAAAGTCAACAGTCTAGGCTGAAACACTCCTTATATCTTCAGTGTGATTATGTAAACAAATTTTTATGACACAAAAACACTGAAGTCCAAATGGGCTATTTTGGCAGTTCAGTTTTGCCTCATGTAATTACACAAGTGTATCTTAACAGTCGTAACAGCCAATTCTCTCTCATATAATTACACCAGGGTAATAACATTAATGTAATTGCATTTGTAATCAGACTGAAACAGCAGTTGTTTTCAGATGTTTTTCTCCTCCAGCAGTAAAAGGAAGTATGTAATAACTTACACTGAGACATTACTTACACTATATCTGCCAGTTTTCCTAAAATTTAGCTAGCATTTATGTTGCTAGTGCTGTGACACTGTAACCAGTTTCACCTTTAAACCATTCTGAAATGTGACAGAACAGCAGATGTCCACTTATCTTAAAATGTAACTTTTATGACATTAATTAAATGTGTTGCATTTCCCCCAAAGCAATGTCTATATTCCCACTGCATTATTACACAGTACCTACATAATAACTACACAGGAACTGTCCACTTATTTTAAAGTATAACTTTAACACTGCACTACAGGAAAGTTCCTGTGTAGTTGTTACATAGGTACAGTGTGATTACAGAATGGTATTAATACATGTGATGTGATTAGGTTACTTTGTTACAACACAGTTATTCCACAGTAATTACAAAAAACAACTAATGTTATGTAAAACATACTTCTTTAACTGTGGGAAAAGACTTCTGATCTGTAGTGTATCAAAAAGATACACTTGTGTAATTACATGAGGCAAAACTGAAGTTGATACACAGTGTAATTACATAGGCTGTACTTCTGTAATCCATCTATAACACCGACGAAACCATCAGTAGTTACAGTGTTGTTGCGTATGTTATTTGTGTAACTACACAGTTATTAGAGACACTTAATATAAAGTGGAAAAAAAAAAAAAAAAACTTTCTCCATAATATTTGTCAAGTCAAGTCAAAGTTTATTTATATAGTGCTTTTTGCAACAGGTGCTGTCACAAAGCAGCTTTACAGAAAAATCTGTGTCTGAGCCCCCATGAGCGTCGCCAGTGGTGACAGTGGCAAGGAAAAGCTCCCTAAATGCACGAGGAAGAAACCTTGAGAGGAACCAAGATTCAAAAGGGGAGCCCATCCTCCTCTGGTCGACACCAGATAGCAAACAATAACAGCAGAGAATAAGTGCCCTTTAATATGTGACTCCTACCTTTCTTACTGGGTAGGAGGGCTCCATGGTTGGTGCCATGGCGACGGGTGGGCAGCGTGCAGGTGAAGAGCAGGTCACCGGGCGGAGTCTGTCCATCAAACAGTGGCGTGCAGGCGTAGCTGGCATCTCTCCGTCCGCTACACAAACTCTCGTCTGAGAAGGTCCGCTGCAGGGTCCTCCGAGGAGACTACAGCACACACCAAACAGAGCAACACGAACAACAGTGCCACGATTAGCCTGTAGCTCCTTTCTTACAGGTTTTTTTTTATTGTGTCTGATCCTGGGGTTTGTATGTATGCCAGTAACAGTGCTACTCTCTGGCTCACGTGTGATGTTCCAGTCCTGGTGGACCAAAACACTGCAAATTTCAGCACACTGCCTCATTAAACACACCTGATTCAGCTCATCAGCTAATTAGCAAAGCCTTCATGAACTGAATTCAGAGAGTTAGATGAGGGGAAAAGCTGATCTCCACAGCATTTTGGCCCAGAGGGTCCCCAGTTTGACATGCCTGCTCAAGCAAAAGGTTTGACTGAGCGCTTTCGCTCGACTTTCCTTAACTTAACACTTTTTTTACTGCCATGCTGGAGTCACCCACACCTGCATCAGCATTTATGTTAGCAACAATAGCTACTTTAATTAGCCTTGTAGATAATAACTTATTTTGTCCTATAATGAATATTAATAGAAAAGAAGTAGGAATACTAAATGTTAATCATACTAAATGACAAACATTTTGGATTATATTTGGATCATTGGCAGATTGCTTAAAAACTACAGATGGTCAGAACTGATTATGCAAAAATACAACACAGAAATAATGGAAAATTTGCAAAGCTGACACAACGCTGCTATTAAAAACCTCAAAATAACAAAAGTGATTATGCACCTGAAAGTGCGACACGTTCAGGAACACAAAGAGTTTCTCAAAGGCAGCTTTATATCAATACAATTTTCTTAAGTTTTATTGGCAAAAGCTAAAGCTACTCCATCTGCAGAACAGAAAACTCAACTCAGACAGCACTAAAGCTAGAAGTATTACTCAGCAAATGATGGAATTTATCATACTGGGTGATCAGCCTTTCTCTGTGGAACACACTGGTTTTCAGTGACAGGTAGGGCACTTAAAGTTTTATGAGTGAAGAAAAATATTCCCCATACACACATACAATAATACTGTCATGGTTTAATACTATTTGTTTGTTAGCATTAAATACCTTAATCCGACCCCTGTAAAGCTGCTTTTTGAGAATGTTGGTTGTGAAAATACAAATTAAGTACTACACAAATGTACACTTTAAGGCTGGCTTCACATACTGAAACTTTCATGCAGCATTAGTTGCTTAAAACCTATATGAAACTAAATTGCACTTCAGTTGCACAAGTGTCCCGCTACTCATTTGAAACTCAGCTGCAACTGGTAAAACGTCTCAATTTCATGAAACAAGTTCCATAAAACAGCCAATCAAAGCACCAATTATGCATCACATGATCATGTCGAATGACATTTTAAAACCATTTATTTCACTGGAAAAATAAAAAGAATAAAACAGACAATGGCGTTTTGGGCTGTTGAAAAGAAGACCACCCCCAACCCCCTCCCTCTTTTTTATCATGAAGATAAGTATTTATCATGAAGATTTGTCACTTATATGACAGATATGTAAGTTAGACCTTGTGGATTACTTTTTAAGCAAGAACACTGTGGTGGATCAAAGCTAATTAGTTTTTCTAGATAATCATGTTGGTGGATGTCTGCATATCAGTGCATCACTAATTATAATCTCTTTACGTTTTATTGGGTGATTGGTGAGTGTGAGAATGTGAGTGAGCAGGCTTGTTGTGTGTTTATGTGTGCACTCACAGAGTCCTGCTGTGGTGCGTCTGCTGGATTGTCCATGATGATGAGTTTTTTCAGGTCGTCCTCGATGGTGCTCTTGTGCGCGGGTCGGCGAGGAGAGCGCAGGTCCCTCAGAGAGGCTCTGAGACGTGGCTGCCCAAAAACGTTCTTACTGTTCATGTCCACCTGCCTGTCCACACACAGGAGACAAAAGGACAAATAGCATCTGTAAAACAACTCAACTGATCAATATACAGTCATATGCAACAGTTGTTTTGAACTGAACTGTTTTGCTGATTTTCTAAGTGAAAAGTTCAGAAGTGAAAACCCATCATCTGCATGGAACAAACTTAGACATGGCAGTTTTCTGCATTTTAATGCACAATTTATATATATTTATCAGCTCCACTTACTATATAGGTGCACTTTGTAGTTCCACAATTACAGACTTTTCTCTGCATACTTTGTTGGCCCCCTTTTACCCTGTTCTTCAGTGGTCACTAAACAGTTTCGGTATATTTTGAAAAATAACTCTGAATCGTACCAAAATAATCAAAATGAACTGAATCATGGTAAAATTTGGTGGAATTGCTTCCTAAAAGAACTGCAATATAATCGAATCAATGTGAGGGTCAGCCTTAGTTGAAAAAGGTCGAATGTGTTTTTTCACAGAGCTCTGGAGACTCGAAAACACCTAATCCTTCAAAAGCGCACAAAAAAGCGTACTCATACGCACTTGCTGCTGCTGTTGCTGTCCGTGCTGCTGGAGGTAGAGGTGATGGTGGCTGTGGCGGATTCCTCCTGGTTCCACGCGCTCTGCTTGCTTTTACCATAAAAGGATTTGGGGGCGGACGTGGAGAGCTGGGCGGAGCCGGAAGTGGGCGTGACCGTGGAGGCTCTGAATGGTCTGGGCTTATCAGTCACAGCAGGGGACTTGTAGCCCTGCGGGGTGTAGCACGCTCTACACACATACATGCAGACACACATAAATATGCATATATTTGCCAGCTGGTCGCACGAATCAAAGCATAATCCTCAAATCTTAAATAATCTCAGCAGGCTAAAGCACATCCTGCACTACTGCTACACATCATCACACAAATCAGAGCTAAAACTAAATAAACAGTGACTCCGCTGGACTAAAACAGCTTTGTAAATGTAATCATTATGCAATATGTCCTCTGTGCGATGCTTATTTATTTATTTATTTATTTTTTTACAGCTGTACTCGTTCATTTCATCATGTCCTAATCCACAGCTCAGTTTATCTGTCTATCCACTCATTCATTCACTCATCCATGCTCACCGGCTCTCTCTTCTCGAAGCCATGCTCCTGTGCTCTCGCTGACGGCGTGTGTGGTCAGTATAAAGAGCGTGTGTCCAGTGCAGGCTGATGCCTAACTGCAGACTGATGACCTGAGCTTAAGTCTTGTCTGAAACACTACCAATCCTTTAATCCTCAACAGTGGGGCCTGAAACCACCCCTCATCTGTGTGTGTATGAGGGGGGATTCTACTACGTCTGTGCACTGAACTCTGATACATGTAAAGTAGTTTCTAATTATGAACGCATTTCTTTTTTATGAAGTTTAAAGTCCTTTTTTATCAAGTTAATCCACTTTATTAGCACAACTGCAGACTGTACCCCATCACTGGTCAGTTTCTGACCACAGGACAGCTGTCGATTGCTGTTATTTAGAATTATCAGTTAAAGCTGCTATAACTATCTGACTTAGCAACTGTTTTCTAGCTGATGTTAAAGCCTCAGTCTCTGCACTGGGTATAAAGGGACATGCTAAACAATCATCAGAAATCCAATTAAGTCTTGTCTTTTACAATCTGCTTTGATTATTTTAAATATTGACAAATTTTGTGTTAATATACAGGGGTGGCACCACAACTCCAAAAGTGGTGGGGCAAAATATGTAGGTCCTTTTTGTATATTACAAAAAGAACAAACAAAAACAAAAAACTGAAAAAGTGTGTGACTGACTTACAAAAATGAGCCCTCAATAAATGGGGAGAATGGAGTGGAAAGGGTAAAAACTAAACTTTAACTTGTTTCTAACCACATGTGATGGATATTTCTATAATTATGTACGTTGAAGTTGAAGGATGTATTCCACTAAAAAGTCTATGGAAAATTAAGTTTCTTTCTGTTTTTCTACAACAAAAAGGTTTGGTGCAGTAGGAGGCTAGCACTACTGCGACTGAGTGCTGACTGGTTAGCATTACTGCGACTGAGTGCTGACTGGTTAGCATTACTGCTACTGAGTGCTGACTGGTTAGCATTACTGATACTGAGTGCTGACTGGTTGGCATTACTGCGACTGAGTGCTGACTGGTTAGCATTACTGCTACTGAGTGCTGACTGGTTAGCATTACTGATACTGAGTGCTGACTGGTTGGCATTACTGCGACTGAGTGCTGACTGGTTAGCATTACTGATACTGAGTGCTGACTGGTTGGCATTACTGCGACTGAGTGCTGACTCGTTAGCATTACTGATACTGAGTGCTGACTGGTTGGCATTACTGCTACTGAGTACTGACTGATTGGCATTACTGCTACTGAGTGCTGACTGATTGGCATTACTGCTACTGAGTACTGACTGGTTAGCATTACTGATACTGAGTGCTGACTGGTTGGCATTACTGCTACTGAGTACTGACTGATTGGCATTACTGCTACTGAGTGCTGACTGGTTAGCATTACTGCTACTGAGTGCTGACTGATTGGCATTACTGCTACTGAGTACTGACTGGTTAGCATTACTGATACTGAGTGCTGACTGGTTGGCATTACTGCTACTGAGTACTGACTGATTGGCATTACTGCTACTGAGTGCTGACTGGTTAGCATTACTGCTACTGAGTGCTGACTGGTTGGCATTACTGCTACTGAGTGCTGACTGGTTAGCATTACTGATACTGAGTGCTGACTGGTTGGCATTACTGCGACTGAGTACTGACTGGTTAGCATTACTGATACTGAGTGCTGACTGGTTGGCATTACTGCTACTGAGTACTGACTGATTGGCATTACTGCTACTGAGTGCTGACTGGTTAGCATTACTGCTACTGAGTGCTGACTGGTTGGCATTACTGCTACTGAGTGCTGACTGGTTAGTATTACTGATACTGAGTGCTGACTGGTTGGCATTACTGCGACTGAGTCCTGATTGGTTGGCATTACTGATAGTGAGTCCTGATTGGTTGGCATTACTGCTACTGAGTACTGATTTGTTGGTATTGCTGCGACTGAGTGCTGACTGGTTGGCATTACTGCTACTGAGTGCTGACTGGTTGGCATTACTGATACTGAGTGCTGACTGGTTGACATTACTGCTACTGAGTGCTGACTGGTTGACATTACTGCTACTGAGTGCTGATTGGTTGGCATTACTGTTTCAGAGTACTGACTGGCTGGCATTACTGCTACTGAGTGCTGACTGGATGGCAATACCGCGACTGAGTGCTGACTGGATGGCAATACCGAGACTGAGTGCTGACTGGCTGGCATTACTGCTACTGAGTGCTGACTGGATGGCAATACTGCGACTGAGTGCTGACTGGGTAGCATTATATGACAGCAGTGTAGGAAAATTCAATGCTGTTCTGTGTTCAGAAAATTTGTACATTTTAAATTAAGAATTTACAAACTATAATTTATATATATTTTGCACAAAAGCTCTATAGGAGCCCATTTATTTAGGCTTATCTCAGAAGCGCCCCCTAGTGTCTTACAAACCCAGGAGACATTACTGAGTGGCAGTTCTGCTCACTGCACATTCTCTGGTAAGACCCCCATAAAACGCAGAACTCTCTCTGTTTGTTTTCCTTTCGTTCTTTCTTCTCTCACCTGGGTTTGAAGTTGTCTGCGCTGGCTGACCCGGGTGGGGGAAAGGTGCGTGTGCGGTAGCTCTTGCTCTGATTGGCTGATGCAGGGATGACAGGTGATGACTCTCTCCGGCGCCCCTCCCCCGCAGACCGGGCTGGGGTGTTGAGCTCCTGCAGGCCGCTGTAGGTGGCCGAGCTGTGGAGGCTCTTATGGGGCGTCCCGGCGAGGCTGCGGCTCAGTTTACCCGCTTTAGTGTTGGGGCTGGGCGTGTAGAGTGTGGAGCCATCGATTCCACTGTCGCTAGAGCCCCCTTTACCCATGGGGTCCGGGTCAGGGTCACAGGGGTCACTCAGCACTCCGGAGACTCCGGCACCAACCCCGTCAAACCAGCGCTCATCACTGTGGCTACTGGAGGCGTTACTAGACAGAGTGTTACTGCTGGAGTGACTGGAGTACTGCGCCTCACCCTGAGAGAGAGAGAGAGAGAGAGAGAGAGAGAGACATTTATAAAAAAAAAAACGGTCAACTGAAAACATTTAGTCTTTTGTCTCTTTTCTAGAAAAGAGCATGAATTATTTGTCTGAACCCAAATAAAAAAAATAATGAATTCAAGGTAATTAATTAATTCCTTAAAATTCTGTTAAACTGTTATTAAATTAACAATCAGTCATCAACAATTAGGCTAAACTTTAAGTGAATAAACGTCTCCATCTTTTCACTAAAGACAGTTTATTTCTGCTTTTTCAGACTTCTGAGGATTAAATATCCTTCCTTCCATTATTTCTTTTTCTTCATTTATCCTTGCCTTCCTTTCATTTTTTCTTCTTTCCTTCCCTCTTGCTTTTCTCTTTTTCTTCCATCCTTCCTTCTTTTTCTTCTTTCTTTCTCCTTTTCTAACCCTTCCAACCATACGTTTGATCTTTTCCTTCTCTTCATTTTTTCCCTTTGTCTTCTGTATTCCAGCTTTCTTTTTACTTCTTTCTTCCTTCCTATTTTATTACAACTGAATTTTGTGACTCATTGCTCAGAAATTAGTTTATTATTTGATTTAGTTACTGAAATAAACAATAATTATTCTAAACTACTCTGATTATTCTACATTATCATAAACTAAATAGTAACTTATTAAGTTTATGAATTATTAGATTATAATAACATGTTCATGCAAGCACTGTTATTTGCTTTACAAATCTAATAAAATTAATTATTAGTTATATTTTAAAAGTTTATATTTAAAAAAAAATGGATTTTTTGATAATGTGGTCATTGTTGCTGGTTAACTTGGTACTTTAACACTGTCGCTAAGGTAATTTAACAGACGCTACTATATATATTTTTTTCAGTCTCCTGACGGTGGATTCGACTGAGTCCGGTTCAGATTCTAAACTTGGTCAGACCCTTTTTGAGCTCGGTTTGACATTTCAAGTCTGGATTGAAGCTCTAGTCCTGAATGACATACAGAAACAGCAGATGACCAGCAGAGCCCTTCCTGTACACTCACACTTACAGGAGAATCAGAATCAGTGTATTTAGGTGTTAAATGTTCTTAATGAACAGATGGTGTTTTCAAACAGACAGTGGCCGTATGGTAAAGGGGTTGACCTCTGACCTTCGAGTGCCGGTTTGGAGAGTCCTTCCCCTGAATATCCTGACGAGTCTGACGCCTCTGAGTTGCGCCCGCTGACACACTCCGAGTCGAGGTTGGGACATGCCACATGGGCTCTGTATGACACACACACACTATAAATTAAAGCTCTATTTGTGCAGAAACCCCAAAACACAAACAGCAAGGATAGCTTAAAGGGAAATGTCACAGATTTTTCAAAATTTCTACATAATCAAATCACTGACCTATAAACAGTCATTCAGAGTGGTTTGGTGTGAAATGCTCTGTTCTAGAGAAACTTATAGAGTCAGAATTGTTCACAGTGGGGGTGATAGGAACCAGATGTCTGAAGTGTTTAATGCTAAACAGAAATGTATTATATGAAATGGTAACAAATGCATTGCCTGAAGCCTGAGACACATTGTTTAATAATAGTTTTGAGATAAGCTTTTGGACTAAAATGAATTTTAAACTAAATTTGTAGATTTTTGAACACATACTTGTACATTTAATCATGGTGGACAAGTACATGCAGACACTGCAATGTAAAATAGTCCTTAAAGAAAACTTTTACCACCATTAACTTTATTAAAAAACATAGTTTTCATGTGTAGGTTCACTGTTGATTTTGGACAGTAAATAAAATGGCTATATTTGTGTTGTAGACATTGTGACCCCTGGTTCCTATCACTACCACTGTAGAGTGGACAAGATTCTCTGGAATAGTACACGTTAAACCACTCAGAATGACTTTGTTCACATCACAATGATCGACTTATGCAGAAATTTTAAAATTGGGTGGAAATCCCATTTTTATAGGCTCATACACACATACCCATGCACACAAAACACTCGGAGTCAATACAGTCAACTTATACACATACATACATTCATACTCTGTCAAAAGTGTGGTCTCACAAGCACTGCATAACATTTCTCTACAGATAAATACAGATTTAAACAGCTTTTCAGGTTACTAGAATAATGAGGTCTTTCAGTGAAATGAAAATATCAGTACAGTTGGATTATGTGATAATTTCATAACTTTATTTAGTGTGAATAATAATAATCTAAAGCTGATGTGTTGTTCAGGGTGAACAGGCTGAAGGCTGCCATTCCATCAGTTAACCAGCAGAGGGCAGAACTTACCCAGTTCAGCAAAGCTGAGAATCACTGCTAATTCTGCTGTTTTGCTGCATTTGATGTGCATCAAATAACTACACGTGTACACAGAAGAATGAGTGTGCTTGTATGTAGGCATATTTGTATTAGACATATGGGTTTTATTATCATTACACACACACATATACATATATATATCTATCTCAGTTTGGGCAGTTTCTATATATATATATATATATAAATTTAATATGGGAAATTATTACATATAGCTACTTACATATACATAACGTGGGATAAATTATTAATACATATAGATACTTAAATAAGCTCAGAAAAAAACAAATTCGTCACATTTCTCTAATACTTGGTTACCCACTCTCTAATAGTCTCTAATACTTGGTTACCCACCTCTTTACCTTAATAATAGCATTAATCCTGTCAGGTAAAGACAGTCCCTTGAGTTCTTGTCCATTTTATCCCCTTTTTTGTATTTTGGCATTTCACCTGCTGTTCCAAATTGAGAACTGGGATTGAGATTTGGTGATTTTGCAGGACAGTCAAACTGTCCCAGAGCTCCATCATGTCTACTGAACCCTACAGGTGTCATCTTGGAATGTGGGAATGCCAATGTTATGTTCTGCCCAGAAAGTGGTTTAAAAAGACCTCAGGAGACGGGACTGACCCTGTCATTAAGGCAATTACTAAAGCAACTGCATGCTCAACCAAGAATTAGAAAAGATTTTTTTTGTCTGGGGAGCTTATAAATAGTATATATATGGATCTTATTATTATATATAGTTGTATATATAAACATATGTATGCCCCGATGAGGTATGATAATAATAATGTATATTATCTGTGTACCGGTCTTGCCGCGCTCCATGGTGCTGTCCTGACTGGTGAAACCAGATGATGAATCTCCGCTGGAGACATCCAGAGTTAGATGAGCTTCATAAGGCTGGAGAGAACGAGGAGTCGAACCAAATCTACAAACACACACACACACACACACACACACGCACACACACACACACACACACACACACACACACACGCACATTAACACAAAGTTAAAATAGCAAAAAGCCCAAGGTGGGATTCACATAGGTTTTTCCGAAGGCTGAAAAACGTGGGGTGCACTGCACCGCCCTTTTCTCCTAGAAGGTTTCTGAATGTTGCCTCTGGCTATGTGTCTTTATGTTGCTGGGCAACAACAGCATCATAACTGTCAATCAGCTGTCCAATATGGAATAAAAAAACTTTTTGAGACACATTTCAAATATGTTGCTTCATTCCAAAATGTAATGTACATTAAGCAAAAATAAATTTTTGACCATTTTCATATTTTCATTTTTCATCATTTTAAATATACTTATTTTCCATATGGGGTGATTGCTGGCAGTCACTTTGATATGTACATGCAGAAAGCTCTGGCATTTGCTTTTTTAGAAAGTGATCTATTATTAACCAGCAAGCGTGGTGTTGCTAGCAAAAAAGCACTGAAGGCCTGCCACACCTTTGATCTAATTGGTCAGTGTAGAAAAAACCCTTGTGACGTTGGCTACTAGACTACTGCAAGCTGAACTTCTTTCAACTCGCAGATGCTTTGTGCTAAAACTGCACTGGGTGCATAAAACATGAGGCATCCAGCCCAAAAAATCTGCACCAAATGTGTCTCTTGTTGAAAACAACTGGAAATAAGTGCTGGGAATGTAAATTTGAGCCTCTGTAAGCCGTAATGAATGGACATCCGCTTAGGTGCAAGAAAGAAAAAAACAACAGCAAGAAAAAAAAGAACTTTGGCTTATATAATATACGGCTACAGGTGTGCCGACATGTTATTTGTCAGAGAAATATCTTTTCATTGTTTCTGGACATCAGCTACAGTAGTAGCCGCACTGCATCTGCCCTCTCAATCACGTCCACTTAATGGCATGTCTCCACCAATGTGCTCGGGTTCAGGCAGTGGAGTAACAAATTATAACCAGTGGTGGACGAAGTACACAAATCATGTACTTGAGTTAAAGTAGAGATACCCAGGGTAAAATATTACTCCAGTGAAAGTAGAAGTTCCTCCTTTTAGACCTCCACTTGAGTAAAAGTACAAAAATATTTGCCTTCAAATGTACTTAAGTATCAAAAGTAAAAGTACTAAGAGATTAATTATGGCTCTGATGTCCAGTTACCATTTTTTTAACAAGACTCTGCTTCATTAACTCATTTTAGGTGAAAATACTCCAGTGTCACTTTTGGTAAACCAGTCTTGTAATAGACTGTCATTAATTAGTGACGCTGATGTCTATTAAAATTATCATAAGCACAAAACAACGAAGGCAAACAGTTTCCATTAGGTAGAACTGAGTGGCTCTGAAATAACTTTTAGTAAACAAGCAAAGTTTCGGTTTAAGATTTATTTGCAACTTAGTTACAAGTTTAAGTTTAATAAAAACTTGTTTTAATCACAGATTCACAAATGAGTTTTCCTTTACTATATTGCTTCTGTACGTCTCTGTTCATAAACATAAACTAGCAAATTTACTATAAAATGAAATAGTGCTTGTATAAATTCAGAAAAAAGACACGTCAATATGTGTACATATTTCTATATTGTGGTCTATTTACACAAAGTTAGGTTAGAGTCAGGAGTTTCCTCCATCATTATGTTGAACAGACTCTCCCAAAATTTTACGCTGCTGCACTGATGTTGAACCGTGTGCTGCACTGGGTCGGTATGTCCAACAGGTCAAAACAAGCTCAAAACAAAGTGTGCGCTGTGCCCTGATTGGTGTTCTTGCTTTGCGCTTCTTTCGTTTGACATGTTACATTTTATACACGCATAAACCAAAAGGAATGTCAGATTTCTCTTAATGTAGTGGAGTAAAAGTAAAAAGTCAGCAAAAATGAAAATACTTTACAGATACAGGAAAAAACTACTTAAGTACAGCAACGAATTACATTTACTTCGTTACTGTCCACCACTGATTATAACAAAGTGCACGCAAATACGAACAAAACCCTCACGCTTCACTGAACTGTTGGTCTGTTTTTTTGTTTATTTTCCTGCTATGAAACATGAAGGATGTCTGAATAGTGATTTCAGTGTTTTAATACTGGCGCCTTGAATGGTTAACTGAGTATACATGCACATTGTGATACAATCCACAAAAACGCAATGTCAACACACATTGAGAAACTTCTAATTCATTTTAAACAGAACTCAAGAGCCATTGATTTAATGACCTCTCATGACTTTTCTCTAAACTGAGTGGACAAACGTTCCTCAATAAACATGAAGTCTTTGTGTTTACATAAACTTGAGAAGAAGCGTTTATTGTTTACCTCAAAGTGAGCGTGTGCTGGATTACCACAATCCATACTCAGTAAATCCAGATGTTTGCAAATAAACAAAAGAAATGGAGAGAATGTGTCCACTTCTCACTCTGAACTAGAAGTTAGGCCTCAGTAAACAGCTCTCTTTCTAAATCCACTCCACAGCCTCTTCAGCATGACTTTCAAGCCAATTCACTGCTGTTATACACCGATCAGGCATAACATTATGACCACCTCCTTGTTTCTATGCTCATTGTCCATTTTATCAGCTCCAATTACTATATAGGTGCACTTTGTAGTTCTACAGTTACAGACTGTAGTCCATCTGTTTCTCTGATACTTGGTTAGCCCCCTTTTACCCTGTTCTTCAGTGGTCAGGACCCCCATGGACCCTCACAGAGCAGGTACTATTTGGGTGGTGGATCATGCTCAGCACTGCAGTAACACTGACGTGGTGGTGGGGTGTTAGTGTGTGTTGAGCTGGTCTGAGTGGATCAGACACAGCAGTGCTGCTGGAGTTTTTAAACACTGTGTCCACTCACTGTCCACTCTATTAGACACTCCTACATTGTCAGTCCACCTTGTAGATGTAAAGTCAGAGACGATAGCTCATCTGCTGCTGCACAGTTTGTGTTGGTCATCCTCTAGTCCTTCATCAGTGGTCACAGGACGCTGCCCACAGGACGCTGTTGGCTGGATATTTTTGGTTGGTGGACTATTCTCAGTCCAGCAGTGACACTGAGCTGTTTAAAAACTCCAGCAGCACTGCTGTGTCTGATCCACTCAGACCAGCACAACACATAAACACACCACCACATCAGTGTCACTGCAGTGCTGAGAATGATCCACCACCCAAATAGAACCTGCTCTGTGAGGGTCCATGGGGGTCCTGACCACTGAAGAACAGGGTAAAAGGGGGCTAACAAAGTATGCAGAGAAACAGATGGACTACAGTCTGTAACTGTAGAACTACAAAGTGCACCTATATAGTAAGTGGAGCTGATAAAATGGACAATGAGCATAGAAACAAGGAGGTGGTCATAATGTTATGCCTGATCGGTGTACATGCAGGAAGCAGATATGCAGGCAAGCTAACACGCTAACTTAGCATCAGCATCCATCACTTAGCAGCAAAGCTAGAACAAAGAGAGAGAGTAGAGTGTTTTTATTCCAGCAGACGGTAAGAGCGCTCATCTGAAATGTGGGTCACAGATACACTCAGCTGAATTGTTCTCCCACTAAGCTCCTTTCGTAATTTCTATAAATATTTGAAGAGTGTAAGTTTGCCATGGGGAAACCGTTTCACACATAGCTCTCCTAATTGCATGGAAGAAACAAAGATATGCTAATCAATGCCCCACTTTCATTAACGACACAAAAACAAACAATGCAAATGCACATAAACTCTCTTTCCCCAAAAAGAAACAAACAAATACAAACAATACATACAAAAAAGAAACATTAATTCACTAAAAGCTAAGAAGAAGGTTGTAAGGTTGAAAGGAAAATGTGAAAAAATTAATTTCACATAGATATAATTAATAATAAAGGGTAGGGTTGTCACTATTAATTAATTGAGTTAGCGATTATTTTGACAAATAATTAAGCAATCTGTGCTTAACTGAAAAATAATACTCCACGCACAGCATTTCAAAGACTGCAAAATACAAAATGGATAAAAAGGCAGCTCTGAAAATACTTCAAAATAAAACAATGTCTTAAGAAAGAATCTGTGTCTATATGAGGCTCTGTTTCTTATTGAACAGATTTAAACATTAGGGCAGTTTTAAATATGCATTATCAGGACATTCGCAGGAATTAGGTAAATCGATTTAGTGTATTTTAGGTCATTTTAATGCCTTTAATGCTTTCATGAACTTTGCATGTCCACACAGAACATTATATAGCAGTGTTTTATAGCCTGAGTAATCGCTATGATACATATTCTTTACTTTGCATGTTTTTGTTGCAGTTTTACAGTGAATCCTTTGGAAAAACCCTAACTGAATATTACTGCAATAGCCTGTTAGCCTGTTCAGCCTAGACCACAAAACCAGTTTCTTTACATACACTTTAACTTCACTTACATATAATTTTTAGCAGCAAACATTTAATTTTACTTTATATACACACAATTTTTACCACAAACATACAGTCATTAGTGAGATCCTGCTGGTGTGGGTTTCCTCTCTTTCAGCAATGAGTGCAACTTAAGTGCTAATAAGGGACAGTCTTAATAAGGAATATAGATAAAATCCATTACACAAACAAGCACTCACAAACAAAACAGCCGAGTAGAACGTATTTTATTTTCCGTTTCGTCTCCTGTTTGTCATTAAGAACATGTTTCTCTGGTTCAACAGGGCGAGCCACAAATAGTACACTCAAAAAAACCCCACATAAACACAGATATGCAACAGACTCGACCAATCAGAAGAGAGCAGGTCTGTCCATACACGCCTAAACCTCCTAAACGCCTACGAGCACACACACGTGGGTACACAACGGGGCTGCGAGGCTGAGGGATTAATCAGCGCTGTGTGTGTCTCAACATGCCTCACACACTCATCACGCCCACACAACAGTCCCGGTTCAGCTTCACGACCACGTTTCATTATTACACCTTAAACTACATCCATAAGCGCAACAAGCTGATTCTGATAGTGATGGAACTAATCAATTTGTACTAACTGTCTGTCCTAAAGAATCAATACTCTGATTCACTGAGTGCACTCAATAATTCGATCATAATCAGATTCCTGCAGTTATCTGATTATTCAAAAGGTCATGTAAACAGCAAACTCTGATTTCTTAGATCGAAGTAAGGTCTAGAAATCTGCTTAAGAAATCTGATAAAGAGAGCTGGATTTTAGCTCAGTAATCAGATTTCTCAGTGCACGTAAACTCTTACTCTGATTTCTTTCAGATTTCTGCTGTACAGACTGACTGTTGTACCAGAAATAAGCGAGCAGCGTTGCCGCAAGATGGCAGCAAAACACTTTCAGAGCGACGCTGAAACCAAATACATGCTTGAAGGAATAAGGGATTTAAATATTCTTAATCTTCTAGATGATGTATGTTTATATTTTTAGGTAAAGTGACAAAGTTTTATATTATGTTTTTGTCACGTCGTCTTCTGTGAGTTTATTGGCTGGTTTCAAAGTAGAAATTTGATTACTGCCTGACTCATGTAGACCTGGAGTTTCCCCATTATCTGATTACTCAAGTGCATGTAAACGTGTTGATCTGATTACTGACTAAATCTGATTTTCTGCAGTTATCGGATTATTGAGTGCATGTAAACGCACTCAGTGATTTGAGTATTCGTAAAAGTCAGTGAACAGATATCTGGTTACACTAGAGGTTCTCAACCCAGTGTGTGTGTGTGTGTGTAGTTATCTCATTACTGAAACTACACTATGTAAGTTTTGGGGATTTGGAGACCTCTCTGGTGGAAATGTGTAATTGAATGCAACGTGTGAAACATTTTGTAATGTGGGTTGTACTTTGGATCCCTGAGAGCATGAATCTGATGATTGTGAGCACATTGAAAGAGTACTCAAAGAGAACTCAGTCAAAACTTGACTGAGAGAGACCTAAACATCACGCCGGATCTTCCTTCTGAGTCTGTGTGTGACATTTACACATAGAGGCAAATGACGTGATCCGAAACCCCCCCCTGACCCGACGACTCTGACTTTTGAATGATTATTTCAGGGCGACTCACAGCAGCTCTCACACACTATATTTTAGACTGTATTTTATAATGCTACTTCCTATTTTAACATTTTACCTAATGTGGCTTTAACATTAATGTAATTTAATTATTACATCATTTTTTTTTTCTAAGAATTAATTCTTTCCATTAAATCTTATGGAAGTTTATACATGTTGGCATAGGTCACATTTCTTTACAGCCTCATGAGTGCATGTAGGTTGCTATCAGCTGCTTTCAGTGAAGAAAAGAAAAAAAGAATAAAGCAACAATATTAACAAACATGTAAATGCAGCCACAAACAATTAAGGCAATTATGCAATTAAGGTTTTGGCATGTGATGAAGATGGGGTAAGCTCACCTATCTGGTGAGGGTTTATAGCGGATGAAAGGTCCACTCAGGCCTGGAACCCCAAGTGCTGGACTGAGGGCAGAACCAGGGCTGGAGAAACTAGCTGAAGGGTTCCGGTACGGCCCCCTGTCGCCCCCTACGGGGGACACGCTGTAGTGATTCTCAGGATAACTCACAGGCCTGAGGGAAGAGAGAGAAACACAGACATACAGTAAGAGAGAGTAGGCAAGAGTAAACATAGTGTAGAGCAGGTTTAGGTTACACGCAATCACGGGTATTAGCACAGTTTACTTAACCACTAAAATGGCCAGGATCCATTACACACTACACACTTCTATAATCTAGAATAACTAGGTTATTAAGAATAACTCAGCCAGTTTGTATTTTAGTCCTGAATAATAAGCCTTAGTATGTAATAAACCTGGGATTTTAAGGGGTTAAAATGTAACAGCAAACAGATGAAGAAACGTGGGTAGCAAAATTTGGAGGCTACCTATATAAAGACTTCATAACACACACGTAAGCACTGAATAAGGTAATTAAAAACAAATAGCAGAAGAATTTGCAAGATGTTTCATGAAATAAATGACACTGTATTGCTGTAATGGCCATTAAACTAAAGTGTTAGACATTTAAGCATCATTCTTTCAGAAAACTGATACAGAATATAGCAATCACATCTAGGTCTCTGTCTAATAAGTTCATCTTAATAGTCTTTTAAGTGAAACAAATGTCACATTTGTTTACGGGCCCTCATCAATGCGTCATTAACATCACAAATACTTTAGTATTGCTTTTAAATATACTATTCAATGCAATGCATGCATTGTGACGTCCTTATTTAGCTATAAAGTGCTACTGAAACATTCTTCAAATGGTTCATTAGATCAGATTAGTCTAGCTCTGGACAGCACAGCGATTCTTAGGCTGTTTGCTGACCTTTTAGTGGGGATATGCTGTGGCTCTCTATATGGGATGGGCACCATGGCCTTTTGCGTGCGACTGGGGGCCGGTGGGGGTCCCACGGGGGTCCAGCGCTGTGTGGATGGGGCGGAGTGTGTAGGTGGGCTGTCCCAGCGCCAGGCTGGAGTGCGACTGGAGCGGTAACCGGCCGCCATTGGCTCCGCATCGCCCTTCTGCTCCACTGTCTTCATCTCAAACTCCTCCGTACAGCCCCTGAGCCAAAGACAGGACAGGCAAACGTCAAATCTATCATACAGCTAACTAATTCAGACAGTTCAGTGGTGTAAAGCTGTAAGAATAAGAAGAAACAATCAATAAGAATAAAAATGAGAATATAAAATACACATTCTACCAAATTAGTTCAAAGTCAAATGCAAAGAGTTGAAAACACATTTTGGACTTTTAACTGACTTGGACTTTAGACTAAAATCCCTTGACTAGTAAACACAGCTTTGAACAACTGTACACAGATAAAACCATAATATTTTTTTCTTGAAAACACAAAAATAATTACAGAAAATTTGTGTGTCGGTAGGGACAATTCTTAATGTTCCACACTGATTCTCAGACTTCAGGACACATTAACTTCAAAACAATGGGATCTGACTGCTCACCATGTGGCCATGAGGGACAGGGATGCAGCCTGACTTCCTGCTCTAAAATGCAGGAGTGTGGCTAAAATAGGGCTCTGCCTAAGGACTAAAACTCTTTGGGACAGCATATGTTAGAATTTTTATTCAAAGAACAAACTTATAATAAATCTAAATATTTCAAATTTACTTCACTTCACTGGGGGCAGTCGTGGGCTGGAGGTTGGGGAACCAGCCTTGTGACTGGAAGGTCTGCGGTTCGATCCCCTGAGTTGACAGTACATGACTGAAGTGCCCTTGAGCAAGACACTTAACCCCCAACTGCTCCCCGGGCACTGCAGATAGGGCTGCGCACCACTCTGGGCAAGTGTGCTCACTGCCCCTAGTGTGTGCGCATTCACTAGTGTGTATGTGGTGTTTCACTGCACGGACGGGTTAAATGCAGAAGTGAAATTTCCCTGTTGTGGGACTAATAAGGGTCAAAATTAAAAAAACATTGAGAAAAATACAAAAATAGTTTTAAGTAATATTTTCACAAGTATAAATTTAGGGGTTAGAGTATGGGACAATAGAAAGCAGCCCAAAATTATGACTTTGTATATAGTCAGCTTATTACAATCTCAATTAATGCCTTGGGCTTAAATAGATTATAACATTATCCTTGTAAATATCGTAGGTCTGTTTGTGTTTGGTTGTGTGTAATAGTGAAATAGTATAATAGTGAAGTCTAATAGCAGACGTACTTTAATGCAACGTCATTTAAGAGCACAGGAGTGTGAGCAGGTTTGCAGCATTATCTGCATTCTGGAAAACGATGTTATAATTCAAATGATCCAGTAAAACAAAACAAAACATTTATTTCCAGAATAGACATGAAGTTCCTAATATGGGCATGCCCCAACTTTCACCTCGGTAGCATCATGTGATGAGGGGGGAGGGGGGGGGGCTAGCTAGCAGGTGGGAAATAGCCATGACTAAATTAGGGGGGATAAAACAAGTAAAAACAAAAAAATCAACTAAATAATATTAATAAAAATAAAATAAAACCTTAAAATATAAAATAGCATTTTCTCACCCCTACTAAAACTCTTCAGTCACCCTCACACACAAAAATACACACAGAAGAGAATGCAACTGCGCGCAAAACACAGAATATCTAATTATGTTATATGGCTAATCGATACATATTAACCTGCTCTCTAACACCAACAAACTGCTTGTTGAAATTTGCATTAAAGAGTTTTTGGAGCAACAGAAAGGACAAATCCTGCTTGTTTCGCATCTGTTATCCATAAATGAATGAGGAAAAGCTGGATGAAACGTGGCCTACCCCTAAACTCAAAGCCAAACCCGACAGCTTTCACAGCTCTAACAGACGGAGGACAGAAAACTGAATCCCCGGTGCAGCGTCTGAGCACCAGAGTGACACTGCTGTAATTTGGGAATGAGCTGTGTAAATGAAGAGTGTGGATTAGTCCCAAATCCCTGAAGAGCACTACACTAAAGTCCCTTTTATCATCATCCGCTTTCCGAGGCCAGGCCAGCCAGACTTCCTGTGGATCTCATTCTGATGAGTGGGAGAAATACAAGTCCTTTTCTCTCTCTCTGCATAATCAGCACTAGGAGTCCTGGAGCCTCTCAGAGTCTCACTGCCCTCTGCAGCTTAACTTCCTCCAGAAACCCAATACGTGGACCCATACAGGACAGCACAGGACTTACAGCGATATTTCAGCTTCTGCCTCGCGCCAAATGTAGTCGATCAGCCAAGGCATGCTTGATGTCTGATGTTTCCTTCTTTAGTTTTGCATTGCAGCTACTAATGTAGCTAGAAAGATCACAGCCTGATGATCAGCATTGTACAAACTGCCTGCCTGAATCATCACACAGCTGCCTCAGTTGTTGAGAATTTAATAAACTTGCTTATGATGTGTCTCACACTGTGTGACACACTGTTACCTATAAAAACGGACAAACGTACATCTCATAGTTTAATAAAAGTCTTGAAGCCTAATTTTTTAAATCCGTTTTTGTCCATTTTTTTAATGCAACCACATAAGCAAGCCTGAGATTACATAATAACTTGACATAGTTTGAGGGATAGTTAGTATGTGATGATTTGGGTTATCAGCTCCTATTTCATTAGCTTTGTAGCTCCAGTGCAAAACTAAAGAAGCAAAGTTTAGGCGTCGTGGCTGATCAACTACACTTTATTTGAATGGTCCACTGTGGATGCTTTGTATATCACTGTTGTCAGAAGAAAACTTTGTGTCTCCAAAATGGTAACTTTACAGGAAAAGGAAAAAACCTACTTTACTTTTAATGTAAGTCAATGGAACCAGACATTTTTACAAGTCACTTTAGGCCACTTCTGTTGGTCCATTCATCACTAAATTTACCTACAATGTAAAGGCCAACAGGCATTTTCAAATTATGTCAAAAACTAAAAAACTACAAAAATGGAGATACGAGATTTTCTTCTGACAGCAGAGATATGCTCAGTCCATCTTTAACTAACATTCAAATAAATATCTATTAAATGCAACTGAACTTTAAGCCTAAGATTATGCTTTACCTTAATGTTGTTGATAATATCTGAATATTAACAGAACGTTTGTTAATAATTTAAGTATCTGTAGACCATCTACAGGGGACCATCCAAATAAAGTGTGACCAACTACACTTACAAAATCTGTGTATCCCACATTTTTCTTACATTTTTTTCACCACTGAGGTCCACATAAGACATCTGTGCAGTTTCAAATACCAAAGTCATCATAACTCTTATCCACATGATCGTTTTCTCACCTTTCTCTATGCCTTAGAATTAGACAGGCTGCTTTTGTTACTGTGCCTTTTAGACTGATAAATGTAAATGACCTCAGTTCTGATTGGCTGCCCTGTACTGTGCCATATTTAAGAAACACTCCTCATAACTTTGGTGTGAGTGGGTGGAGCTAAACTGCTGTGGGCTTAAAAGGCAGATAAATGTGTTGGTTTTAGTGACCTCACAGAGACAGTGACAGAACTTTAAACTGCTTTACATAGCAAAGGAAGTTCGGTTTTCAGTGATATGGGCCCTTTAAAGTCATGATCCGGCTACACTATAACCCTATAACCGATGGCAGGTGGCTCAGGTTACAAGAGTCTAAAGATAATATTAGTCATCCAGGCTGACTGACCAAAAGTTTCTTCCATTAAAGTTGCATGTGTCGTCTTTAGAGCCATCATTATTGATTGTTAATAAACAACATTAAATGGCAAAAGAATCTAGTAATCAGAATTTCAAAAAAAAGATAAAAATACACAATAATAAATGAATAAAAATAGACTTAACTGAACAATGACAAACATATAAGGCACTCCAAAATACTGTACAGGACAAATGATACTAGACCAGATTTAAAAAGGCTTAAAATACCAAAAATATTGATACAGATATAACATAACACCATCACCAAAATGTGTATAAATAAACAGAAGAACTGGTCATTTTCAAGGGTCATTTATATGTCTGGCAGAGCAATTGGGGTGTGTATATATATTACTAGTGAAAGCCCCACTCTGCTCTGGGACTGAGGGACGTTTCACTGTCTCAGTGGGACACTCTGTGGGTCATACAGTTAACCAGAGCCTGACCACACGTCAATACTCCAACCGTTCCGCCAGACGCCATCGACCGAGTCTTCACCCACCGATTAGAGACATAGAGGGGCATCTATATTTCATCAGCACTCAGCTCTACTACACCCTGCTGCTAATTACCCTCTGTCCCACGAGGAGAAGGAGAGGGAGAAGACAGGAGAAGAAAAGAGAACTAAGAAGGGAGAGAGAGCAGAGAGGAGAGGAGAGGGGAAGAGAAACAGAAGAGAGGGAAGGAGAAAAAGAAGTGAGGAGAAAAAAAAGGAAGAGAAAGAGAGGAGAGGAGAAAGGATAACAGGAAAAGAGAAGACAAAAAGGAAAGAGGAGAAGAAATTCATTATCATTGCACGGAGTAGTTTAGCAGTTCAGCATCCACCAGAGTGCAAAAACAGCACAGTGTAAATAAACACAGTGCAGACAGTACAGGCACCGTTTAGGAGGATGAACAGTAGGACAGGGGTAATAATATACATTATGTAGTGATACATGCACTACCATTTAATCAGTGTTCGAATCTGACTGTAGGTAAATGTATAAAATGATTTGAATATGCAGCTGTACAGGTTTCAGATCATTCGGAGGACACTTAGAAGCCATAAATAAATGTGAAGAAATATCAGAAGTGTCCAAAATGAACAGTAGAGCTGTAGATGATGAAAAATTGAATGAGAAATCGGTATAATCAAGAAAGAAGTTATAATAAAATCAGTATTCAAAACTTATTATTAACAATAATAGTTATATAATATTAATATGGAATATTAAACATTAATATTTCAAACGTGGAGATCAAACCTTAAGGCAAATAACTTGAAAAAAAGAATGTAAATAGATAGTTAATATATTATTTTTCATTTTTTTGAAAAAAATCAGTAGAACTTCTAAAACACTTTTGGTGAATGGATTCCACACTGTATAAAATCTCATTGTATATAAAATAGCAGACATGATTGATATAGTAAGTGATTCCAAAGTAGTTTATAT